AGAGGTGTCAAGGTCTCTTGCCTCCTCCCAGTGACGACCACGCCAAGGATTCCCTGAGAAGGGGAACTGATGGGATTTGACAGATGCAAAAATGTCGCTTTTACTGGGAAAGTTGATGCAAACAACCACACCGGCCCTGGGGAGCTTGGGTTGCCACAAAGTCCACTTCTCTTATCGAGTGCATCTTTTCCTACATCTGTGGCCCACCTTTTTCCATTGCGCAACTCAGGGGAGCTCCACCTGTCTCCCCTCCAAACGCTGGCTGGCCCTGCAGCTGTTTAGCTTCAGCAAGCCCTGCTTGGGTTCAGTTAACTTCAAATCACAGCCTACTCCATCCTCACCTGGACAAAGTTGCAGGATGAAGAATGGGTGGGGTGAAAATCGGATGCATTTTTGCAGTTCGCCCACCCAGATTTTCATTTGCAGGCTCTGTTCCAGCACTGACCTGCTGAGGTGTGAGAGCTCAGCCAGCTCACAGACGTCTGTCTTGAAAACAGATTGAAATTTGCACACGTTTTTAACAGCTCGTGAAATTGGGTGCAAGCGAGCACCCAAAAGCCATGTTGCTCTAGGAAGATGGGTGCAAAATTGGCCAATTAGCACAAATAGGCTAGTTTTGACCAATGCACAGTAGCTGAGAGCCGTGTAGTTTTCAGGTGTTTAGTAGCACAAACTGCAGTACTAGTTAAACAATATGTGCAAAGAATGCATCTTGGAAGCCCCCAGAAGAAGCCCCTGGCTGGCCAACTTCTGACCACCACATTAGAAGCAGGCAAGAAATTCACTGAGTTTAAATTAGCCCCATTCCCCTTCTTGGCCAGATGATTCTCTTGCCTTTCCAAGCATCCAAATGTGTTGATCCTTCACTAGGTGCTTCTTTCAAGGGTTGCCCAGTCCAGCTCTCCAACCTGTCGAGTCTGAAAGTGGATTGAGGCAGTCTCAAGGCCAAAGGTGAGAAATGTTTACACACCCAGAACTTTTCTCAGCCTGAACAAGTGTGGCTTGTACCCTTCGCTGACGAGATCACAAATCGTGACAGTTTGCGAAAGAGCCTTTTCGACAGGTTGACTGGATGGAAAGAAGAGAGTCACATGCTCTTGCTTTGAGGAGGAATCACGCTTCCGGATTGCCACACCTGGGAAAGGGCACTGCATAATCACAACTTTAATCGACGTTCAGCTTAGACAGGGAAGAATCCAAGCCTCCAACGGAGGAAAGGTGAAATTCTCACGCCCTTTTCTGCTAAACACATGCGTTTCCAAAAACCCAATAAAATTTGCCCATGGAATGGAAAGAGCTGTGCAGAGAGGCAAGCAGCTCGAGAAGCCCTGGATGCAAAACTGCTTCCAAAGAGGTTTCTAATTTCTAATTCAATGGATAGTGGTACCAAATCCTTCCATAGAACCAGCACCGTGCTGTAGTTAACACAGTGGAAGATCCTCAGCAGAGATTTGGGCCCAAATTCACCAAGTTTGCTGAGTAAACTTAAGATCAACTCATCACTTCAACTCATCACTTAGCCTACTTCACAGGGTCATTGCGAGGAGGCCAGAAAACAAAGGAGGCGATTCTATGGGGACTGCAATGCCCCAGTGAAGGAACCAGGGGAAGTGGGGCAGAAGAGCCACCTTCTAAATACGCAGTCTGGTAGCATGGTGGACCTGTTCCTATAGATTCCATCAGAGGTGAGGTCTAGGAGAAGAGTCCTCCATGGAGAGGACAGTGTCTGAGTCAAGGGTACAGGGTGTGATTCTGCAGATGGAGCTGAGAGAGAAAGGAAGATGTGCTTTGTTGGAGCCACGTCAACCGGGCATGGTTACATCATGGGGGAGAACCAGTTAAGTGTGCGTGTTGCGCAAGTCAGGCTATTTCAGGTTACATCACGGGGGACAAGGCAGTCACGTGCCCAGATGACTCAAGGAAGGGTGTTGGGCAGGAGCCCTGGGCATGAGCGAGGGGATGGGGTCACATGACAGTCAGGGGCTCATGGCATGGCCAAGATGGCAGCTACAGCTGCAGCTGGGAAATGGAAGGATCGCCTTCCCTGTTTGCAACTGGGGTCCAGCTCAAAGTCCAGCTCAGCTGGCAGCTGGCAGAAATGAAAGCGCAGGTTGGGCTTGGTAAAAGAAGTCATTGTCTGTTCCTGGAAAAACTGATTGCAGAAGCCCCTTTTTTCCTCCCCTGACACTACATGATCCTGTAGGGCTTCTCCAGAAGGACTCCTGGAAGAAGAAAACCAGGTATCGTCGAGATGCATGGAACTTCAACCCGCTTCCTAAACTTCACCCACATCCCCAAGATTTCCCAGGGAGGGCTTGAGATCTCACTCTTGCCCAAATCTCAGATTGGATCTCGATGTTCTCCTGCCCTAGCATCATGGAAGAGCAGAGCTGGAAGGAGCCAAACAGACCCTGCAGTCCAACCCCTGCACAATGTGGGACTCCAACCGTTCCTGACCAAGGGCTCAGAGCGACACGTGACTTCAGCTATGGCTGAAAAAGAGAGCGCTCAGATGAGACTGTGAGTGAAAAGGGAGGGGAAAGCCAGAAGAGTTGAGGGAGCCCCCCCAGTGGGGCACTTAGGAGTTCGTGGGGTGGGGGGCAAACAGAAGAAGAGAATGTGAGGACAAGGATGGGAACAACCCCATCTCATCCCTTTGCCTTGAAGGAAAGCTGGTTTTGAGCCTAATTCTAGGATTCCATTGCGGGGCGGGGACAGCAAGGCCCACCCAAAAGCCCTGCCCGGGCTACCTACTGCTTCATGTGTTTTGCAGGATCATCAAGAGAAATTCTAGGTCTAGAACAACATCCCCGGTCTGACAAGGACCATAAAACCCCAGAGTTACCCGGACAGTAAAAACGGGTCCCGCTCCAGCAGAAAGCATAATAAATAACTAGTCCCTCCCCACCCAGCCCTGCCCCCACCCCCCAAATCCCAAAGCTCAGAATCCAAAAAATTTGGAGTTTCTGAGCCCTCCATGGTCATGCATTGGTGAAGGGGTGGGGGACCACCATCTCTGTTAGGGCATGCATGCAAAGATGTCGAAATCTGCTTTCTCCGAAATGGGGAGAAATATTTAAGTAGGAAATCCATCACAGGAGTACAAATCCCTTCCCTTTATGTGCTCCAGTTAACTGTAGAAGAGGGTGACTTTATAGTTCTCCCTGGGGTGTGTGTGTGTTTTCCTTCAAAAAAAACAAAACCAAAAACCAAAAGAAAAACCCATCGCCGGCGATGAGCATCATCTTCCAAGCCTCAGCACTTCGTTACAGCTAAGGGTGAAGACCGACGTAATCTTTGAAGGGCAAAGACAGATGTACTATTGAAAAAGAAATCGTAGCCGGGGTCTTCACCATCAGCATGTGTCCAGTTTACTTCTGGGTTCACAGTTTGCCTGATGGCTGAATTTGGTGTGTGTTTTCCACAGGCCCGCTGCCTTCGGGCAGCCTCCTCAAATGTTTTGTCAAAAGCAAACAGAAGTAATGTATGTGGCGCCAATCTTCAAAACAAAAACAAAACAAAAACTCAGACTGCAGCTACAAAACTAGCGCATCAGGGAAAAGACTTAGACTGAAAACTCCCTGATATGCTAGAATTCTTTGTGCAAGGATTTCATAATTATTATATGGAAAGGTATTCCATTACTTGGGCTACTACCTGTAGTCAGAATATGTACATCCCAGGACAGGTAGGCCACCTCGGGAAGAACTAGGCCAAAGTCATTCTGCAGGACAGGTAGGTCCCTGCAGATAAATTGTTCTTTGACTCGTCACTCATACCTCCATACTTTACAGCACCATATTTTAAGAAAAGGACCTTGGATGGAAGGTGCCTTGTTGCTGAAACGGTGCAGAAGCCCGCTCTGTCTTCAGAGCCCCAGGAAATAGTACGATTGCACGGAACACAGTGAGGCCGTAATACATACATTGCATCTGTCTTCACTCTACAAGGATTGCGTCCCCGATCTTGGAAGCGGCTGAGTTATGGCTTTGACCAGCTAAGCTAACCTCCCTGTTTACTTCCCCGAATCACCAAGACAAACGGAGGAAGCCCTCGCTGGCATTAAACCTGAGAGCATGTAAGTTGGGGCAAGCGTGCCTCTCAGTCCAAAAGCTGCTGCACATGCCCAGGACGCAGCAAACACATCGCCCCTGCTAAACCCAGTCCATGAGCAGTCTGGGCAGCTGCGCTCCACCCCAAATGACCAGCTATTGTGTGTGTGTGTGTGTGTGTGTGTGTGTTTCGTTTTTGCTTTTCTCGCAACAACCGGCGCTTGAACCAACCTGGAGTCCCATGGCAAGCAGACTGCCTTTGCCGTTGGAAAGAGCATGCATGGAGGAGATGGGATGAGAGAGGGAGAGAGAGAATATATATATATATGTACAATTCCATATATCTACAATTCCCTCTTTGCTCCGAAAAAGGCTCTACTCCTTTTTGTTCCTGGAGATGAGGTTTACAAATAATAAATAAGGGGCTATTCGAAACCCAAAAAAGCAGAGCGGGGCATGAAGGAGGCTTCTTCTAGTCTTGACTCAACTGGCCTTTCACCTTCGCAAAGCTGTAAGACAGCACTTGTGCCAAAGCCCCAATCCATCTTTTTCCAAAGCGAAGGGTCTGAAAGAAAAGCCCGCTCTGGAAGCAGATAAAAACATTTTACATATATTTAATTTAAGGGCTCTCTCTCCCTGTTTCCTTCCTTCTCCCCCGTTTCTTTCTGTGTGGCCTTCGGACAATCCGCCCGTAGCTTTCTGAGCCGAAACCTTCCTCAGCGACAGCTTCCCGCCCACCCCAAGAAAGCATGACAGTTTGTTTACATCCCTTTCTGTCCTCCTGGGCTCAGGCAGTATCCTAAATTTCGGCCCAAAAGAGGAGGCGGCGGCGGTGGCGGCGTCAGAGTGGTGAAAGTCGTCACTAACACTCATCTATGTTAAGGCTGATGAACTCCTGTATACATTTTCTGTACTGGAGTTCTGTGGGGCTGTTGCCAGAATATTGACCTGCGTGACCAAACGGACCCTCGGCTTCTCGCATCTCTTCGTTCATCCGAGCCAGACGCAGCCTGGAGCGGGAAGAAAAGGAGGAGGAAAGGAATGTTTCAACTTGAGTCACCCTCTGGGGAAGACCGTACTAGAACCTACTCCTGGGAATTGGCCAAGATCGGCACTGGGCTCAAACTGGGAGCTTTTGTCTCCGGAGTGCGTGGTTCTCCTTTGCTCCTGTGTGGGGAGCTGTTTGTCAGCTAAGAACAACTTCTAGGGGTAAAAGGGCTTGGACTGGCTTTGAGCATCTAAGGCTGGTTTTCCTGGACTATAAAAGGGCTATAAAAGGCTTTATGGGTGAGAAGCAACCACAGAAGTATTTTTGGACTGTTCCTTGCTTCTGAGGGTTGCCCTTGTGCTCCAGTCCTTGATCAATGCCTTTGAAGTTCCACGTCCATCATTAGGACTGAACTGTAAGCAGCTGTCAAAGGGAAGCTAAGTGTTGTGCCAGAGTTAGAAGTGGGACTGGGGAGATAATGCCTTCTGATATTTATCCATAGACTGTATTTATATCCTGTCTTTTTTCCTTCCAAGGAACTCAAGGGGGCTTACTTATGCTCCCCAGAGAGGTCTGCCTGGCACCAACAATTCTTTCCTTTCAGCGCCAGGCAAAACCCTTTTTATTCTCCCAATATTTTAATTGTTAATTTGTGGTTTTATGCGTAATACTGGATGCTGTGCCACTTTTACTTCTCTTCTTATTCTGTTTTGTTATTGCTGCTGTGAACCATCCCAAGTCGTCTGTGATGGGACGGTATACAAATGTTTTACATAAATAAATAAATAAATATTTTGCCTTCTCCTCCCAATTTCATCCTCACCACAATAACCCTGTGAGGTAGGTTGGGCTGTGGGTCTACGACTGGTCCAGAATCACCCAGTGAGCTTCATGGCTGCATGGGGACTTGAATCCAGCTATGTGGGACCCCCAGTCCAACACACTAGCCACTAGACAACACTGCCTTTCCGTGCTGTCTCAGGGATGGGAGGACGTGGTGTTGCTTGCATCTTCAAGCCAACTCTCTGAATTCACACTTTCCAAGCTAATAGGCGGATCAAGACATGGTCATCCATCTCTGAGGTCCGCTGTGCAGGTCTCAGCTAGAGAGCTCCATGCAAAACACAAACATTAGGGAACGAGGCATGCAGAAAAAAAAAGTTACCTAAACGACTATCGTTAAGGGACAGGGTGCAGGACAATTAGTGCCATAGTGCACGTATGCGAGATTAAGAAATAATTACAAGCTTATGTGAAAACTGGATGACTTTGGACTGAATGGGTTGGACATGGACTAGTTCACTGCGGTGCCGATACACTTACAAGGTAACAATGTCGGCGTTGGCCGCCTGGACCGCGATGCTGAGAGGGTCTTGCCCATCGTCATCCACGGCGTGTTGGTTGGCTCCTCTTTTCAGGAATAAACAGACCTGACTGCCGAACGCAGAAAAAGAAAGACAAGACGAGAAATCAGAGGAAAAACTTGCGAACTCACCAAAGTCCTTGCAGCAGTAGGGGAGAAAAATGTTATGCAGTGCTGAGTTTGGACCTCCTATATTAGAAACACAGAAACAGAGCGAGTCAGAAGGGGCCTCCCGGCCATCTAGTCTGACCTCCGGCACCAGCCGGCTCCGCTCATGACATGCCCACCATGTGCCATATTCATTTGCTTTAAATTTTAGGTCCCCCGGTAGTTCCCTGGGTGGATCACAAGAAAGAAACACTTAAACTATATGATTGTAAAAAAGGGAATCCAAACCCTTAAATGTCCAACAGGGATAAAACCAGAGTTTAAAAAGCAGAAGCAAAGAATAAAATTCTAAAGAAAAAATAATACCCAGGAATAACAGAGCCAAAGCATCAGCTAAAACTTGGAATGGGTGCTCTCTCTTCTTGCCTCACCTGATAAGGAGTTGGGTTTGGACTACAAGTCCTATTGGCCCCAGATGGCATGCTGGCTGGGGCTGCTGGGAGCTGTACCCGAAATCCTATGGAGAGTTTAAGGAAATGCTGCCAGGTCACCAAGAAAGAAGGTGGGAAGAGCTGGATTCCTGCAAGGGATGGGCAGGTGCAGCCGTGGAGCTTTTCTCTGCTTTATCTCGCACCCACCGGGCCTTGAATCCAGAGCGTGTGTCCAAAGATCAGCGGGACATGCAACACGTAACTTACCCAGTGTGGCCCAAATATGTAGCAAGATGCAGCGGTGCACGCCCTCGGATATCTCTTTGGTTAACGTCGGCTCCGTTCTGGAGGAGGAATTCACAAGCTATCAAGGAGCCCTGCCAGAGATGGAGAAAAAGAGGTGCGTTTGCGATCTCCAGCAAAGCTCCAGCAGGGCGAGGGAGGGTCAGAATGCAAGGAACGGGGCTTCGCCAACTCTGCAAGCGCCGGGCGGTCAAGGGCCATGACAGCTTGGAATGGCAGGCCTTGCTTGGGAGGGCAACGCCTGGTTGGACAACCGGCACACCCGGGCTCTGCTCACCCCCATCACGGCCTGGATCAGGGGGGTTTTGTTCTCGTCCTCGTCGTTGACCCAGTTGACGTCCGCGCCATGAGCCAAGGCTTCCGCCATGACGGGCAGGTTCCGCGCCCGTGAGGCCTTGTAAGCGAGCAAGCCCGGGTGTAGCTCCCGCAAGTCCTCTGCGTCGGAGGCCTCCTGCTCGATTTCGGCTTCTCCACTCGACTCTTCTGAAATCTCGCACTCTGCAGGGGAAAGCCAAGTGGGGGGAGAGGGGGGGAACGGCCGGGATGAGACAAGGATCAACCCATGGGACTTTCTCGAATGCCAAGTGACTCTTTGCACCTGAGGTGGCTTTCTATTCCTCGTCACAGGGCTGTTCTCTGCCCGGATTGGCTCCATCACGTGGAGCCAGGCCTGCTCAGGTATCTCCAGAGAGCCACCTGATATTTGCGTGATCTGCATAACCCCACCCTCTCATTTGCAACGCCTCTGCTAGAATACGGGCAAGGGACCGCCCCGTCCATGGGCTGCTGTTCTCTTGGGCAAAAGTCTTTAGAGGGAGGGGCTGGAGCCTTGGGTGGGTGTGGCCTGAGCCACGGCTGGGCAGGGATGGGTGGAGTCAGAGATCTAAGTGGGTGGAGCCACTTTCCTACATATACACACACATGCTGGGTACCCTCCTCCTTCCTTTCCAACTTCAGGTGGCTCTTTGGCAAAAGCCCTTTATTTCCAGTGTACATCCAGCAAGCTTTTCGCCAACAAAGGAAGAATCTCTGAGCATGCACAAAGTAAAAAACTCTTTCCTAGAGCCCTCCTTCTCAGTAACCCTGTACTCCACACTCCCCAGCTGTGCTTTAGTGCAGAGGGGCTAGCTTCCTAGATCTGCAAAGGTCCTCTAGTTGGCTGGCTCCTCTCCCCTGGTAGTGCATCATGGGCTCAGGGATCTGACTAGGCTCACCTCCCATGTCCCTAGCACTTCCAGACCCTGCCGGCTCCCAGGGCCTGCCTGAACATCCGGAGAAGGCGGCCTTGAGATCAACACTGCATCCTCAGCCATCTCTCTGTCTGCCAGTCCTCTGTCACTTACACTGGCTACCAATTGAAGTCCAGGCCCAATTTAAGGTGCTGGTGAAGACCTATAGAGCCCTAAACGGCTTGGGCCCGGGATACCTGAAGAGGCGCCTTCTCCCCTATGTGCCCCCCACCCCTTGAGAGCTGAGCCAGAGGCCCTCCTCCAGGAGCAGTCCTTGGAAGAGGTCCGGAGGGTGGCTACCCCGAGGAGGGCCTTCTCTGCATTGGCACCCCAACTGTGGCACATGCTCCCCAGAGAGGTTCGCCTGGTGCCAACGCTTCCTTCCTTTCAGTGCCAGACGAAACCCTTTTTATTTCCCCACCATTTTAATTGCTAATTGATCTTAATCTGTGGCGTTACATCTAATATTGGATGCTGTGCTACTTTGCATTTTATTTCATTTCATTGTTGTTATTGTGAACCGTCCCAAGACTTCTGTGATGGGAACATATACAAAAATTTTAAATAAATAGGTATGTAAATTTACCAGCCCTCCCAGTCAGCACCCAAAGAACCAGCACCACCCTGTCCCTGGAAGGCGTTCCAAGGAAAAATGCCTCCAGACCCAACAAAATCGAATTGCTAGGATGCAGGGGAGGATTTTGGCAGGGTGCAGAAAGAATTAACCTGCTGCAGCTGTTGTGAAGAGGCTCCGTTAAGCAGAAGTTCAGCTGTCCTTAATATCTGAAGATTTGAACATTTAAATATTTAATATTTATGTCTTTTTATTAGGCATTGTGTCTGATGATGTTGACAAACAAGCAACATATCTGATTCTACATGTAATTACTGCGCCAAGGATTGCATTTGCCCAACATTGGAAGAGTGAAGAACCACCCACTGATGAACTGATTTTAAAAAAGATTTTGGACTGTGCTGAAATGGACAGGCTGACTTTGTCTCTGAAGGAGAAAGAGGACACATATTTCTGTCAAACTTGGAACTCTTTTTATTATTGGCTAGAGAAACGGGACTATGCGTAGATTTGAATATGTCTATGGATTGCTATAAAAAAATAATAGGGGGCTGACCCAGCAGGTCTGATGTCTCTGATGATTGATTTTTTTTAGTTTTTTTAGTTTGTAGAAAATAATAATAAAATTTACTTTAAAAAAAATAAGCAGCAGTTCAGCTTTGCTTTGCGTTTCTAAGTTGTCACCCGCACTGTTAGCTAGGAATGGACCAGGAAAACAGGCAGAATGCAAATATAATAAACCCATTACTGATAAATAAGAACATGTCTCATTTAAAAAAAATCAGGTCACCCCGTGCCTTACCTTCCTCTGTGACACTGTCCACCACGGAGCCGAACACCAGGACGTCGGTGCTTCCGTCGGTGCTGCCGCCAAGTCCACTGTCACTACTCAGACCTGCGGGGCCAGCAAGAGGTGGAGCATGTGCATTTTAATATGGCAGCGCCTTGACATTCTGGTCCATCACCCCCCATCATCCCCATCCTCCCCCCGTTCCCCTTCTCTCTTCCATTTGTTGCAAGGTCAAACAGGAGCGGGCAAGGCACTTTGGACGACAACTCCAGTATAGCTGGTGGCCAGGGATTATGGGAGTTGTAGTCCAAAACCTCTGCAGGGCACCTGGTGTCTTTGTGAGTGGAAAGGCATCAAAGCCCCACGGTGCCCTATGTGAGGCCTGGCATCAAGCTCCTGTCCAAGGGCATGTGGCGCAGGGTGGACCCCTCGCCCCAAACCCTTCTGGAACAGAATCGACTCCATCAGGGAAACACTTAGTGTTACAGTCCCTTCTTTCTGGAGACGCTCCCAAACCCGAGCCGGGCAGCCACCCAGCGCAGCGCTTCCTGTGAGAGCCCCTCGCAGCACGGGGCTGCCGGCCAGAGCTGGCTGCATGGCTGCCCTGCTGCGGTCCCCCCCTTACCTCCATCCAGGAGGAACGGCGAACTGCGTGAAGCTGGACCGTTGGCGCTGTCAGTCCACAGGCCGGCCGCCGGGGGGTGCTGCCCCGAGACGTGGTTGCCACCTAAGGGGAAGGTGGACGGAGCATCAGGGGCGGCTCGCTGCCACAGGCACGTGGGGGGGGGTGTCTTTTGGAAAAAGGCAGCCGCCTAAACGGGCCTGGCTTGCCCCAAAGGGCCAAAGGGAGGAGGCAGGAAGAGGTGGGGGGGGGGGGGACAAAGCCGGCCGGTTCCAAAAAGATGCCAAAACCAGCAGAAGCCCGGCCAGCAAAGTGGAAACCGCCTGGAAGGGAAAATAAAAAAGGTGCGACGGAGGAGGAGGAGAAGGAAGGATCATGAGCTGTGGTCAGTGAAAAATCTTCGTCTATTCCTCCCGTGTTACTCCAGGGAACTGGCCCAGCCAAGCCTGCTTGATTTAGGTTGAGGACAATCCAAGAGAGGTGAAACCACATGTGTGGAAGGTAAGACACAGTTTATCGAAGACAGCAAACAGGCCAAAAAAAGACATACACGTGTTTCTCTGGTCTCACTGCTTCCTCCCTGCACAATTGTTGCTCCGGGGGCCAAGTTTGGTGGGGCTTTGACCTCACCATCATCTCCTGCCTATGTCCAGTGATTGGGTCTCTAGGCAGATAGGCGCCAATGGCCAGTGGACTGGGAAGTCTGGAAACCAGAAGGATGTGTGCCTGCCAGTCGTGTTCCAGCTCCGCAGGAAATAAGCTACCTGCCGTGATTCCATGCAACGGGTTTTAATCCCCCTGATAATCCTCAAATCCAGACTCAGATGGAATTGGCTGGATCAGGTCTCTGGAAGAATAGCTCCCCCTTTCCTTGTCTCCTTGTTCAGCGTTTCCCACATATCAGAGAATCGTTCATGGAATCCTGCGGCCGGAAAGGGCCTAGCAGGCCATTGGGTTCAACCACCTGCTAAGTGCAGGACGGAAGTCTCCCCTCCAGATTTCGGCCCGGCCCGGCCCTGCTTAGCTTCCAAGCTCAGGCAGGATCAGGCACTCGGGGCTAGGAGAACGTGCACAGAGATGGCCGATGCAGCTTGCTGTTCTTGTACCCCGAGGCTCATGGCCAAGCAGCAGCAAAGGGGAATGGTACACAACCAGCGCCGGCAACGTGGCAGTACTTACTGCGTGGTCCCGCTCCGGCTCCTGTGTCGAAGTATGAGAAAAGGGAGTCCAGCTCGTCAGGACAAAAGAGAGAATCCCGCCGAAACTTCCTCTCGAGGGTGGCCGCTGCGCGTAAAGACAGATATTTATCTTCCACTGGCATCTTAATATTTTCAAAATGCTCCCAATTACCCATAATATATTAGGTATGCTATTCACCACTGCTATGCAATATTACTATTAATCTCCCGCCTTTCTCATCAGGAGCCCTGGGCAGTTAAAAATGTACATAACACAGTCCCAATATTGGGACACCATTAAGATCTTAACTCTGAAAGGACCCACAAAATAAAAATCCAGTGGGCGAAATCCAGCTTCTGTCCCACTGGTTGTTTTCTGCCCTGCCAGCGAGTAAACGCAGCAGAACCCAGTGGAAATGTTTGTTTCCAGATGGGGGCAGCCGGCCAAAGGTTGCATAAAGGAGCTCCGCTGACCTACGTCCTTGCGGAAATGATGGTGTCTCCTTTTCTTGGGGCTTATCCCCAGAAGGACTGAACCTCCCCCGAGAAAGCAGTGAGTCCTGCTTGCACAACCAAACTGGTGGGGCAGAAAGAGAATTGGAAGGGGCCCAAATGCCCCAGTGTATTCTCCAGAATAAAGCACCATCCGGCGGAAACAGAACTGGGTTTTGCAAAGGCACGAATGGCATAATGAAATATAGGATATGGTAATGGATGATAAACTGACGACAGACGCAAAAATTAAAAAAGGGTTAATGAAAGCCGATAAATATAATGAAATTTGGGATGATTTTGTAAAAGCAGTACTGGCAGAAGGCAAAGGTTGTAAACCTAAGCAAGATTATATGAATTTCTGGAGGGGATATAGATATAATTGAAGTATATTACATATTCTTGTTATAATACGTGAATTAAGAGGCGGTAGTATTGGTCTCCGGGATGGTGGGGGCATTTTATTATTTACTTTTTAATTATTGCATTTTTGGTATGTAATATTGCTGTGCTATGTTGTATTTATGTTTTTTTCTGTTTAAAAAAAATTAAAAAGGGGGGAAGCACACCCGGTAGGCCAGTGCGAGATAGAACAGCAGAATAGCAGGCCGTTGGTCTGATAAAGCCGAGCTCATTAAATTTATCTGTATTTATTTATTTACATGTATTTATAGGCCGCCTAAAATTACCCAGACCTTATACAATGCATAAAACATATTAGCAGAATAAAAACACATTAAAACATCTAGAAAAGCAATTAAAAAGAGCCACTGCATGCAGACTAATTGTTTCCTTAAAAGATATATCTGCCTGGTGCCAAAAGGAAAACAAAGCTGGTGCCAGGCGAATTTCCCTAGGGAGGAATTTCCCTAAGTTTCTCTCTCTCTCTTTTTAATATGGGTGCGTTTGGGAAACAAATCGGTACACAAGATTGGAAGGTGAATTAATGCGTGCTTTCTACGTCAGACACATAGCGGCCCCCTGGACAGAGGGGGTGCTCACCCGAGGAGTGTGCAGCTGGAGATGCGCTTCCGGCCTCGTGCCGGTACTTCCGCCGTGCCGCGGGCGCTTTGCTGGAGCTGTTGCGCCTCTGGCACTTCTTGGCGCTCCAGCGGCGAGGTTTCCGCTCGTTCTCAGCCAGGGCCTCGCCGGTGGCCAGCTTCTTCAAGAATTGCTTCTCCACATACTTGACTTTGATCCACGCTTCTTTGTCTTGCCTGAGAAAGAATTCAGGGCATCAAAGGGCAGCTCAGCTGCTTTCTCCTGGGGAGCCTTCCCCGACCTGATGCCCTCCAGAAGCTATGGCTCCCCTCCCTGACCACAGACCATGAGGCTGATGGGAGCTGTAGTCCAAGACATCTTGACAGCACAGGTTGGGAAAGGCTGCCTTAAATAGCTCAGTTCTAGCTTTTGTCTGTAGGAAAAAAATGAGGATTCCTTTGTGTGCAAAGCTTCAGAGGTGAGGCAAGAGGATCTGTGTGATGAGAAGCTTGGAAGACTCTTTTGTTGCCAGTTTGAGCTTTGAACAGCATTTCAGATCCTTTCTTAGAAACACACGGCAAGACAGACCCTTGCTCACGAATTGACGGAAGCCCTTCAAGGTTTTGGGCAGGGGTCTTTCCTAATCCTCCCTGGGGATGCAAGGGAATTAATCCAGAGCCTTCTTCATGTAAAGCATGCAGTTTACCACTCTGCTAAAACAAAAACAAAAAAAGATTCTAGTCCTCATGATCCTGAATGCAAGACCCAGTTAAGCAAGAACACTGGCAGCTGTCTTATACTGAATGACATTATTGGTCTGTGGAGCTCAGCACTGGTGGTCTTCCAAGGTTTCGGGTGGATCCTTTCCTGGCTCTAATTGGAAGTGCAGGAAACGGAACCTGTTACTGCTTGTGCGCTCTTGTACTTGCCTGTCTGTGTTCGGTTTTATCTGGGAAGCAGCCCTATCCGAGCTTGCCTGCTTCACTGGGGTCTTCGTCCTTGGCCCATCCACCCATGGGAGTCCCCTCAAAATGGACTTGAAAGAGGCCCAGCCATGTGTGGCACGAGAAGAAAGCAGAGGGTGACTAGACCAAAGTCACCCAGTGAATTCCACAGATAAATTCTCCCCGAGATCCCAAGCAGCTGCTGCTGGTTGAAACTGGCACTACGGAGCAAGCCGGGCAACCTCCTTATTTTGCATAAGGTAACCTCCAATTTCTCCATTGCTTCACAGCAAACAGAGATGCAGCGAAAAACACCAGCGATGAAACCGGGACGATGAAGCAGGAGACCCTGGAAAGCTTTCAACTCGAGAGGACCTGTCAGAAAAATCCCGGGATGGAGCGGATGCTGCGGGCCGAGGCTTACCTTGAGCTGTTGGCCGTGGGCTTCTTGAGGCCCATCTCTTCACACTGGGCCTCGTAGATCTGATTCACGGTGGCGTTGCCCAACTCACACATCAGCTGTGGGAAAGCAAGAGAAGCAAAAGCGCCTTAGGAGAAGCAAGAGGTGCTCCTTTTAAAACCCGTGGTGCCCTGTTTCAAGCCCGAAGGTACAATGGGTAGGGACTAGAAAAAGGGCCTTTTTGGGGGTGGCAGCTGGTTGATTCAATTCATTCCCATAGGGCCCAGTAGCCAAGCTTTGTCAGGCAGTCTACACAGATCAATACCTTTAATGTACAGGATAAAAACCCTGTACGTGCAAATATGTCAACCTCTTGCCCTGCACAAGCTGTTCCAGGTCTGTCATGATCGGGACTCCATCTTCTCCCTCCCATCCACCTCTTTTAGATATTGGATGCTTCCTCTTTACCTTCAATAATTCCGGCTCCCAGGAATCCAGCGTGAGGGATCGCACTTTGGAACAATGAACCCCCAAGCTCCTATTGGAAAGAGGACAGATGTGCATAGATACGCATATATTTAAAGTAATTAGCATACATGAGATGCATGCAACTTTCTTGCAGCTATATGTAGCCTTCAACAGAATTGGACCACATATCCAAGTGCATTTCCATTTGAAGATCCATGCCTTCTATTCAAATACTGAGAACGCTGTAAAGTCCTTGGTTGCCTGCATTATAACAAGCGAGAGCTTATCCTTCCAATGCAACTCTTTTAACCATCAAAAGCTCGTGGAGAATCAAATTATATTGACCATTTGCCCATTTCCATGAAGCAGGCAAATAATTTTTTAAATGCCTGTACATCAGTGAATCTTAGAGACTGTCCCAGTATAAAATTTAGCCGTGTAATAACCTTCACCTCAGAAAAAGCAACTGTTAAGCACCTCTTAAAAGAAGGATTACTGGTATTACCCTGCCAACAACTAGCTGAATTAGACAGTTCTGTATTAAAGAGATGTTCCAGCGCCTGGCAGACACAGAACCAAAGTTTTTGCTGAATGGGATGCAGCCTAAGAGGCACAGGTGTGATAGGAAGGCACCAAAGCGGCACTCCACCTATTAGACACCCATAATAGTGTCCACTGCGGTTTCTCAAAGTCCCAAATTGGTCCAGAGAGGTTAGAAACCCCTGTGCTATATAATTCATCCACTGTTTGGCTTCCATGGAAGTTCTGTGCATATGCCTGGGGGATTTGTGAAGGAGCACAGGAAAGATCAGTTGTCACACAAAATCATAGACTAGTAGAGTTGGAAGGGGCCATGAAGGCCATCTAGTCCAGCCCCCTGCTGTTGCAGGACACCAAGTTACGCCATCCCACTCAGAGGGCTGTCCATATATCCATCCTAACCAGTGACTTGAATTTGTATTTGCCGAGATATGCTTCCCAGAGCAGAGCGAAGTGCTGGAGACAACCGGTTGCGTGGAACCTGTGATTTAAGGTGCTGGAATTAACCTTTTCCCTCCTAGACGCTTTGGAGCCAGGCTGTCTGTAAGACCAACGTCATTGCTCTGTATCTTCCTGAGCCTTAACTCCATGCTCTAAAGCCCTATTTTCTATTTCATCAACCAAACTAGTGATTCCAATAACAGAGCCTTCTTTGGGGTGGCCCCGTCCCATTCCCTAAAATCCTTTTTTTTCCTCATCAACTTTGTGTTGCTGTAAGTGGTTAAACTACCCACTGGCTTTAATGTTGTTTTCTAATCAAGTCAGAGGGAATAATCAGTCCAGCCTTGTCGACTGATTTTTCTGTGTGATGTTGTGATGCCGCTTTTCCAACTCTTGAAACTTGCCTCGGGGATTGGGGATAATCTGTCCTGGAGGGCACACGCTATAATGCACATGGGCTGCAACAGCCAAGCTAGCAAAAGCTACTCCCACGCACATGGTCAGGAAATGCTTTGTGGGACTTCTGGGGGCTTGGAAGAGCTGTGTATGAACACCAAAGGCTGGATTAGAGAGCCCTCTTGCTTGAATGTTCCTACGACCGAACTCGGGGCATGTGCAGAATACCTGTGTATCCCTGAACATTCAATGCATAGCAAGATGCCGAGGTTGATGCTGGCCCATCGGGGATCTGCCTGCCCGCAGTCACAGCACTGGTCATTGCCGGGAATGCTTTGAACCCGCTGCAAAATCGTCTCGCTTTTGGCACTGCGGTCCCGCGAGTCTGTTGCAGAGTCGATGCTGCTGGTCGAAGGGGAGGCAGTTCGGTCCAGTCGCTGGAGAAAGAGGGAACGAGAGAGTGAGCGGGAGAGTGAATGGGTAACTGCAGGTCAAGATGCAATGTAGAAACATAGAAACAGAGCGAGTCCGAAGGGGTCTGCCAGGCCATCTAGTCTGACCCCCAGCTCCAGCCGGCTCCGCTCACGACATGCCCACCATGTGCGTGTCCAGCCTGTCCTTGAGCACCCGCACCGATGGGGCCTCAACGACCTCCCGTGGAAGCCCATTCCACACCCTCGGGGTCCTGACTGCCAGGAAGTGCTTCCTGGCATCTAAAATAGAAACAATGTGCTGAATTTTCTTTCAGGTTTATCATTCAGAAAGAGCTTCAGCTTGGAGACAAATCTGAGAGTGCCCAGATTGTGCCCGGGAAGTGAGGTAACAAGAAATACTTCCCTTCTTCATGTTAGATTTATTTAACTCTAGCATCTGAACCAACTCCTGTTGTCTGAGTAGAATGCAAACAGTTAGCAGGCTAAAGTGCCATGTAACTTTGAAAAATAAAATACAGCGGAGGTTTGAAAAGAATGACACACACAGCGAGAAACAAGACAGGAGTTGATCCAACAGCCATAATCACCCAGAAGGAGGTCTCTAAAATGCCCAGGAGGAAAGGAAGGTCTCTGCCCAGTACCCAAAGGAAAAAATGGACAATGGTGATGCCAGGAGAACCTACTGGGGTGTTTATGCCACAGGGCGCCAACACTGAAAAGGCCTTGTTTTCACAGGGGTAGTACTTCCATGATTTCTCATTATGTTCATTGGATCCAATGTATGACCCCTTGCTAATTTTGTCTGTAAAGGTCTGCATGAAAAGATCTACATTTTCGTGCCCATTTCTCCAATTATTATCATTAATATTACATTTCTATACCATCCATTGCTGAAGCCCTCCAAGCAGTCCACAACAAAGCATACAAATAATAAAATGCCACAGATGATTTTAACAGACTTTAAAATGATTTAAAGTAACATCTGAATGCATTAAAATTATTAATTTCAATGTAGCTTCTCTCTATGAACCAGGAAATAATTTATCCAGGAAATGAAAATGTTGCAATTATTAATTTCATTTCTAGACCACCCATAACCAAAACGCTCGGGGCAGTTTACTACAACGAATAAAATACAATAGATGAAATCATCATCAAGAATTAAAAATTAATTTAAAATAACGTAAAAGAGCATTAAAAGAGAATAAAAAGACCCAGCCAAGAGTAAAAGAAAGGTACCTGGATAATCATGTCAGGCCCCAGATGATCCTGGAGGTCTTTACAGGCCTCCACAAAGAGGGCTGTCTAAATCCAGTGCTAAACAGGAAATAGATCTGGCCCCAGGCCGGCTGCAGCAGGGAGCTTGTTCCAAAGAGGGGGCCGCCACAGAAAAGACCCTCCCGCTTGCTGCCGCTTGCAGAGTCTCTCAAGGGCTTGGCAATCAGAGGAAGGCCCCAGAGTTTGGGCCGATTTTCCAGGTAGACTGGGTACCAGTAGATGCATATCTCTGTACACTTCCTCAACAATGTACATTTTCCTGCTCTCTCAAGGCACAAAAGCACAACCAGCGTTCTTCAAATACCCCACTGTTTGTAGCCTGAGAAATCACTGACTGGGCTTTGATCTCGCATGGCAGCCTGAGTTCTTAAGAGGTTTCATGCAGGGGTGATCCTATTTTGTGGGGAGTTCCCTTGCTGCTCAGGCTAAAACCCGGAGTGGATACACCACCCAGCTGCAAAGTTCCCCCGCCAGCAGGGAGGGGCAGAATCGTTGGGCGTGCCTCTCCCCCACAGCCCCCGAACTCACTTCGGTGTAACAGTTATCGGGGCTCTCTCGATAGGCAGAGGCGATGCTCGCCTGAACCGCCTGGATCCACGCCTGGCGCAGCTTCTCGGAATCTGCCTGCAACATGCAGCTCCTGGGAAGAGAGAAAGCATCCAGTCAGAAGCACTGCATGAAACCAAGGAAGGAAAGAACACCTCTCTCTACGGACCCTTTAAAACAAGCCCCAACAAGAAAAATCGAGACCTGACTAAAACCCGCTAAAGCCCAAGAGAAGCAGGGCTAAAAATCCGCCACTGCTGGCCCAGGAGGACCTCGCGGGGAGAAAATTACAGAAACAGGGGGCCATCACCAAGAAGGCCCTCACTGCCAGCCTTTGCGCCTCCCTTTGCGGAGGCCCTTGCATGACCAGTGCAGTGTTCAGGGACGATCGTTCCAGAATAGGCACTTCATGGCATGCTTATTAGTTTAGTGCCCCAGCGCCTCTTGGTGGCCTGGATCTCTTCCCGCTTCTCAAAACCCTTCTCAGTCTGGAGAGAACTGGCCACCTCCCACAGCAGGGCCAGGTTCTTTTGGACCGTGCTGGAGGGTCCCCGGTCTCCGAAGACACCCTAATTATACCCCCAGCATTGAGTCTGGGACCGACCCAGAACCGAGGCTGGTGGGGGAACCTCAGCCCTACTGCCAGATGGCAAATCCATGCCTTGTTTTGTGGGAAGGGGGCAAAGCGGTGGGGACCCCCCCCCGCTAGGGAAGCCGTTCAAACAAGGAAGATCATGCAGGAGGAAGAGGAAGAGAAAGGAAAGGAGATTCTTTGGAAGCTCCTCAGGTCTGAGAGGATGAACGGGATCGCTGAGTCCAGGACCGCCCTGGCCACTCAGGCCTGCCGTGGTCCCCGAACCGTTCCCATGACTCACTTGGTGGGGGAAACAACCTCAAAGCAGAACCGCCTCTCTATGTCTTCGCAGGGCTTCACAGTACAAAGCCGGAGGTCTTCCACCACCACGGTGAGGACGTCCTGGAGGAGACAAGACGGGATGTCACCATTCACGGACCGCAGGCATCCGCTGTGGAGATGCTGCTGAAGGCCCACCGGGGTCCCATCTGGCAATCTGGCCAGAGGGCGAGGAAGCCGCCTCCACTGGGAGCCACGTGGCCCCTTGGGAGACACCCCATGCCAGTCAGGCCACTCTTGCCGGGGCTCCTTATCCACTGAGGCTTTCACCCTAAGCTCCATCCATGCCCAGAATGGGCTCACCACCAGGAGGCACCACAGAGAGACCCTATAAAGCTCAGAATCGAAACTCCCATGGAAAACGAAGCAGCAGCTTCCCAGGCTGGAATTGTTCCAGCCCAACCAGGACTGGACCCAGAACTGCTCGCAGTCAAGGCAGGAGTTAGAGCCCCGCACCTGGAGCCATCTGTCCCCAGTGCCGGGCAACCTCCAGCCTTCCCTACCCAGGAAATTGCAAAGAAAGGGACAAACTGCTTTTATTCGTGGAAGTGAAGAAACTTTAGAGGTTGGTGCTTTGTTTTGTGGTTTGCTGGCCTCCGTATGTACTTTTTATTCAAGGAAAACCTTTAAAGTTTCTCTTTTTAGTTCAGGAAAACCCAGGGAGAAAGAGAGTGTGGTTGCCCACCAAGGGATGGATCACTGGAACCCATGGCCACCACATTGGGAAGCCGAGTTTTAAAGCCTGCTTTCTGCTGGATGGTTTTTGACGGGTTCTTTAAGACATATGGATGGCTGGTAGCCACCTTCCTGATGGTCGTCTGGAGACCAGATGGAGAAGGAGAAAAGGAATTTCAATGGAGGCAGCCAAAGAGGCAAGAAACATGGTGTTTTTCCCTTGGCTGGCACCTCAAAAGGGGGCTCTCCAAGGCTGTTTGCTCTTGGGGAAGTGCTCCTTCTTATTAATATTAGTAATAATATTGCTTATTCTTAACAGTAATAGGAATTATTAGCCAAGTTGAGGCTTCTTCAAAAGGGCTAGACATTCTCAAAATAAATAATGAACCATCTGCTGCTGCTCTGGAGAAAGGGCAGGACATGACTGTGGACCAAGAGTTTGAGGCAGGGCTTGGCTAAGGATCTTCTCCAGATCTGTGTCCACCTGAGGATACAAGGGAACATTTAATGCCACTCCAAAAGGTTTAGAGGACACCAAGGTTTCGTGGGACCCACACTGAGACCTCCGCAGACGTGCCCCGAATGGACTGCAGAATCCACTTGGCAGAGTGTCAAGTATTTGTTATTTGTCAAGACCTTTTTATTTAAACAATATTTTAATAACGCTTAATATTAACTATAGGTTTGAATTTGCAGCCGGAATGACTCAGGGCTTTTTCATTTGTATAATCTGCATTTTTGTACCATGTACGATGTTTGTTTATTTATGTAAGCCGTCCCGAGGCGTTAAGCGATGGGACGGCATACACAAACTCAAAATAAATAAACGGACGCCTTGTCCACCCTAAGGAATCTTTCCAAGAGCTGTCCGTGGTGCTGAATTCAACCCCCAGAATAGGTTCCCCACAGCGGAGTAACTCGGAGAGCCCCTTTCCCTGGAGGAGGGAATTCTGCTCCACATGAACTTCAGGGAGGACAGCAGCATCAGAAGTGCTTCTGCAATCCACCCCAGATGCGTGAGGAGGCCTAGCGTGGGATCATGGCCCTGCTGTCCGATCCATCTCCTTCCACCCTCCTAGAATGCCTACACAACCCTCAATCAATCAATCAATCAATCAATCAACATCAATCAGCTATTAATGTTATCGGAAGTGTCTTTGCTGACCTTTAGCTTCTTCTGGTAGACCAACTGGCTGTTCTGTATGGAGAACCACCTCCTGCAGAGAGAAACACACACACCCCGATGGAGATGAGAGGGACCAAGTGAAAACGGAAGACTCCAAAAACGGGGAACAGCAAGGAGATCGGATGTGTGTTGGTCCAGGAAGGGACCACTACAATGATCTGGACATGTTTTGAAGTATGGATCCAGCAGAGTTTGGCTCAGACAAATTTGCCGCTGAATTCTTAGTCTGCAATGTCTATTTGGCGCCAGGTCAAAACCTTTTTTATTTATACGGCATTTTAAAATTAATAGTTTTTAATGTTTAGTCGCTCTTCTTTTGTTTTGTGATTTACTGTTCATTGTTTTGTTTTATATATTGTTTTGTTTTTAATTCATTTATTGGAAATGGTTGTCTTCTAAATTGTCCTTTTAAAGCATTGTAAGCCGTCCTGAGATTTTTAATATGATGGGAGGGCATATAAAAGCTTTTAATTAATGAATAATAATAATAGTAATTCCAGAAAATGCAAAATTCTCAAGTTCTCCAGAGGTGAGGAACTCCCAACATCATCAAGGACCTCAAAATGATGCACATCACCACAACAACCCTATGAGGTAGGACAGGCTGAGAGAGATTAACTGCCGCAAGCTGTCCCAGCGAACCTCACGATGGGGTGAGGACTAGAACCAGGAGTCCCCAGCCCTAGTCTGACAAACGCACACACGGGTAGGCAAACTGGTGCTTCTTAAATGCTTTGGGACTACTCATCTCCGAACCTCTCACCACTGCCCACGATGGCTGAGGATGATGGGAGTTGTAGTTCCCCAGGGGACTCGGACACCCTCCCGCTCCTCTCCCCTCCTTTACCGGTTCCAAGTCTTGAACGCGTTGCTTGCCCTCTTGAAGAGGTATCCTTCCATCACCACGCCGTTGGGCGCGTCGACGTTGAATTCCACTTTGGAGTCATCGTAGGAGAAGTCCTGAAATGCACCCCGTCAGATGTCAGAATGGGTCGCGAGCATGACCAAAGGAAGGAAATAAGATTCTTTTTCTTTCTTTCTTAGCCATAGGCTGGAGCAACCCAGCACATGCCTATAGAAAAGCATATCCCATTGAGCACAATAGGGCTTGGCTGCCAAAAGCAAGCAAAAGATTGCAGCCATAATCTACCACAAGAAAGGAATAGATTCAGGAATTTAGCCAGGGTGCAACCCATTGTGTCCGGGGTGAGGGGTGGGGGAGCACAGATTAATCATGGGGGCTTCCCCTAATGGATTCTGGGAAATGTAGTTTCAATGGAGGAACAGACAGCCCTGGGGGAGGGGGAGCGTGGAATACAGCCAGCTTCTGGGCCCCCGATGGTGTCTCTTCAGAGAGGAAATGAACTTTTCCAAACGAGCTTCCGGTGGCGGCAGAGGTATGTGCCCCACGTCCAAGCACAGCCAGGGTGGGGAACCCCTTTCGCTCTGGGGGCCCATTTCGATGTGGAAGCAGCTCTCGGGGGCCACACACCAGTGCTGGCCAGGGCCAAAGCAAAGGGGTGGCCAACAACGCAAAAACGCCAACACACTTCAGGTTACCATTCTTCCTGCCCTTGGAAGACGCAGCTCAGCCTTTATGGAGGGCGATGGGGGCGGGTCTGTACCAAGTCCCATAAACCACAAAACCGTATGTGGTCTGAGGAAAGGGGTCCGATTGGCCCGGAGTGCCCCACACCTGAAGTACAGACCCGAGGAATCTGAGAGCGGCCCTTCCTCACGCCGATAATCATGCTCATGGTGATAATATGATTGCAAATTTCCCCCACGCCGGTTTGAAGGTCAAGACCACCACGAACTTGAATCCCCTTTGCCAACTCAAGGTACCGCAAAACCCACATTCCACCAACCAAGCAGGGAGACAGAGATGGCTATAAAGGGGTGTGACATCTACTCAGTCTCGAAGATCTGGGTCCAAGTACTGCTTCAGCGGCTCATTCGTCACACTAGGAAACTCTAGGCCTCAAGCCAGCTTTGTCTTGGGCAGCCTCAAAGCTCTCCTGACTAAATTCCCACTTTCCGTACAGCTGCACAAAGTGACGAGAGATCAACCCTTCGTTCCGGGTTTTTATACATATGCGGCGCTGGGGCGAGGAGGGTTGGAAGAGAATGTCCAGATGAGGGATTTCGGAGCAAGGATTATTTTAACGGTGAGGACTAGAAACTTGATGGGCCTGCAGCATGCTGAGGCTGGGATGGAAAGAGAAAGCGGCTGCGGTGTGGAGCATGGAGAGTGCGCGAGCCAAACTGCTGCTGTAGAGAAGGAGCCAAAGAGGAGATGCTCCAACGCTCGCACGGCAGCTCGCGTGAACTGCCCCCCCGAAATGCACACGCTACCCCCTCCTGCCAAGCGCTGCTGTCATCTGTCCCCTCGGCTTTCAAGCCCCCTCAATCAATCACATTAACTCCCCCACCCCAGACGCGCTCTGCCTCCCCTGGATTTGAATTTCTTCCTCCAAGGATGCCTGCGCTAGCTAGCATTCAGAGCTTCAAAACGGGGAAAGTGGGATCAGACAATGGTTTCCCTGGAAACGCCGAATGCCATCACAAAGAGGAACCGTGTTCCAAGAACAGCAGGCCTTGGGATGGAGCGGGGGGCCGTCCCCCAGTTCCAAACACGGATACTTTCAAATGGGCCAATGCGGTGGAAGGAGAAAATGGAGAGAGAACCCAAGCGATCTGGGGAAATTCTCTTACGACGGAAGCATTTTAATGGGCTTGTGGAAGGGAAGAGAAAAAGGAAGGACAAACGAGAGTTTTACTAGAGACCAGGATTAAATCAGATTTATCACGCAGAAGTCAGAGAGTTCACTGATACGTGGATATTCCACCTTTTTGGCCTGCACGGAACTCATGCCTAATCCACCTGTTTTTCCTCACAACAGCCTGGTGAGGTAGGGCAGGCTGAAAGGCAGTGACTGGCCCAAAGTCATCTACTGAGCTTCAGGGTCACGTCGGGGCTAGAACCCAGATCTCCCGAGCCCCAGCCGAATGCTCTAACCACTATGCAACACTTTCTCTCCATTGTGCCCTTGATGCATCATTATTCCCTTCCAATCCAGAATTTCCCCTTTCAGCAACACCACTCCAACAATACAGCACCACTGGCCCTTTAACATACATAAAAGAGCACAGGTGAGAAGAAATATTTTCTCAGTCCGGGAGTCAAGATGTGGGAGAACTGAAGGATTATTCCTAAAGCAGCATCTCTCTCTCTCATTCTCTCTCTCTTTCTCCCTCTCTAAGCTCCATGTGGCATCTGACACATCCCCAAACATTAGACGTGACAGGTTGGCTCATCAGCAGCATGTTCAGAGTCACCCATGCGCAGAAAGAAAGCAACTGGTCATATCCAGTGAGGTTGCTTTGCCTTTTAATGAAGCATTACAACAAACCACGAAAGGAGAGCCGCTTCCTAGGATCACAAAAATATGGTGACAAGCTGCCTTTACATTGCTGTGTTTTGTCCGATTCCCATGTTCACTGTCTCTTTTGCAGGGCCAACTAGTACGAACCCATGTCATGGGTTTGGATGCTCCCTCCACTCCTTGATACCCACACTTAAAAATACTCCATGCACACAAACATTTAGCACGGAAGGAATTCTCTAATATGCTACATTTCCAGCTGCAGGAAGGACGTGCTTTTCTTTGAAAGTGTTTAATACAACTGTCCATCCAGGAACATATAAAGCCGCCAAATAATGTTGAGTCATAATGACTCAAACCATCTTGCCCGTAACACCAACCGTCTATGAATCTCCAGAATCACAAGAAGGCTCTCAAGCATTGATCATTTTGTAAAAGTGGGAATATTTTCCCTAATACATGCATTTTAATTCCATGCTTTCAAGGAGTAATCACATTACAAGACATATTTGAAAATCATTTTCTCAAGCAGATGTACCCAATCTTTTTGGATTCGAGGATTCGGTCACTGAATTTGGAAAATCATTTCAATTGGCACCAAGTGCAAAGTTGGCTATTTATTTTATTTATTTATTTAGGGAACTTCTATGCTGCCCCATTCGCCGAAGCCTCGGGGCGGCTATGGCATCTGCATAGATTTATCTCCTATCATCGCTGAAACCCTTTCTCAAAACGCTTCCGGCAAGGGGAATCGGGTCTTCAAAGCTCCCCCATTCCGTTTGTGATCGCTTGTTCGCGAACCGAATCAAGCGCTGGCACTCCCAAACTTCCCATGATCAGTATCATTGGAAGACGCTGGAATGACATAATGCCTTTTCCCCTTTTGTTCCTTTTCCCCAAGTAACCATTAATGGCACACGTACACACGTCATTCCCTTCGCGTGCATCCTCCACCTCAAAGGAGACGCCGTTCAAACGAAACGACTCTGGACCAACACAACATCACATTCCACATGTTTTTGAGGGGTTTTCCTATGCACACTCACAAAAAGCATTCCCCCTCTCCCAAGTTTCTCCCGACAATGGAGAAGTTTTGTGTTCTGTTTTTAGCGCTCCCCACCCGGTTGCCTAACACAAGCTCCTTCTTAAACCCTTTCTGTGCTTCCTGCCGGTGCATTTCCATTCTCAACAACATGTGCACAAAAGTAGAACGAGACAGACACAGACAGACACTTAACTGCTGCTTTTCCAACAACAATTCTCCAAGAGTTACAAATGGCTCACAAAAGCAATGCATACCAAACAATACAGTCTGCAGGCATCATTAAATTCGGTCTAAGTCTGCTGCAGAGACAGTCCCTGCTTTATGCTGCTTTAATATCCATTTTACGTTATTTTATTTGCATACATAACCTGATGTGGACAATTGCTGCTTCGCAGCATCCAACTTGTGCTCACATCGCAGCATCCAAAGCCTCGGAAGAACATCACTGCATTATCAACTGGCAAAGACCATCAGATGTCCAGATTCCATTGCATTGACATCCAGGAATGAAGAGTGGAAGATCAAAGAACGAATTCCCAGTTCCTCCCACGCTGGAGTCAAAAAAGCAACAGGATGCAAACAGGCAAGCTTGATTTTATGCTCACAAAAAGCCACACTCTGGGTGGAATGAATGCTGGTCATTTTCACCTGCCCTCACACCCATTGAAGAAGAATTTTGAAAGAAGAAATTGCAAGTTCTTTCCTATCGTATCTGAGAAGAAATCTGAACAATTGTGCGCAGTCCACATCCGAAAACGACGCCTCCCAAATTTTCACCAACCTGCACTGGCCAAATTCAATAGGTAAAGCTATTTTCAGCAAAGAGAAGGCCACTGTTTTCCTGCCAAGCAGCTGATAAAGACAACTAGCCAGTCAGAAAAAGCAGTTCTTGTCGAGTGCCCCCAAACCTAGGACTGATCCCAGATCTGAGCACTGAAAGCTTTCTTGCCTGGAAACAGCACTCTGCCAATTCTGCTTTCTCCCACATGCTTAAAAATCGCTAGATCCTTGTAATCTTGCCAAATCTGGCAAGGAAAACACCCAGCTCAAACTAAATTCTCCTCTCTCACCCTCTCACTGCGCTCTGGGCTCCCGCCATAGTGACAAAGGAAAGGAGAAGAATGAACAGAGGCAAGGACTGTACCACAAAAACCACATTTGGCCATGTCCCATGCCTGGAGCACCTTACCAGAAGATATTCCAGCCGCCCCAAAATCTTCATGACGGCTGTGTCGTCGAGCTGCGATTTCTGGAAATACGGAGGACGCTTGCCTAGTGTGCGCTCGGGACCGGCGCTGCGCTGCGACACCGCTCGCCGAGGAGGGGGGAGGAGTTTTTGCCCGCTCTGTCTGCCACTTCTAGCGCACCACCAAATGCACACGCACGCTGCACGCATGCCCACGTGCGGGGGGCGGGGGTGCGTCTAATCTCTCCCTGTCCTCTTTCTTTCGGTCGGGAAGGCGGCCCGTGGGCTCCACTGGGAGAAGAACGAGACGCGCCTCTTCTCTGGGGACCACCTGGCTGCCCCTCGCTGTCCCTCCCCCTCCGAGACCAATGGCTTTCCTTTCAGAGTCAATCGGCTTAGCGTAAGGACTAATTACCATACAGCTGTCACTTCGGGATGGAGCTGTGGGGGAAGAGGCGGCTCAACGGAGCGGACGGGGCGGAAAGGCGGGGGAGCATGTGATCTTTGACCCACCCCAGACAATCTGGCAAGGTTCTACCAAGAGCACGTCCCCCCCCCAACTACTATGGTCCATGTGCCACAGCCCATCCCATGTGGGATGCCACTGGCAGGGTGCGGAGCCCATCCTGGGCCAATCCAAAGCTCTGCTGTCCTTCAGAGGCGAGAAAGTAGAGACATATGGCCAACTGGTTTCCTTATTTTTTAAGCCGCCCTATTAAATCACCCAGACGGGCAGGACTCCCAGAACACACGGACCCCCCCCCCATTCCCACGCCTTGCCCTTCATCCTGGGCACCAGCGTGGAGTTCTCCACCAATCAAGGGGCAGCACAGATGAACCCATGTGTGTTCAAGGAGCTTCCGGGAGCAAAGGAGCATGCCAAAATCCATTCCACCAAGCTCCAAAATTTTATTATTTTCCCCATCAGCACGGGGCAGATGTTACGGGAATGCTGGAGATCCCTGCCTGCTCTTTTCTTGGGGCCAGGATTTCCCCTGAATAATTTGGGGGGGATGTTTGAGGTTTCTCCTTCGAGAAAACTTCAGGGGGACCCAGGAGTCACCTCCCCACAGGGCAAACTCATGTCCCCAGAACAAAATTTGGCTGAATGATGCTAACAACACACCCTCTCCTCAGACCAATGGTTTGCTGATGAACTTTATCAGCAAACCATGATGAAACTTGAACAGGATCTGTGCAGCTTGTTTTCAGGCTAAATCTGCCCCTTTCGGCAGCAAAACACTGAGGTTTTGCTTTCTCTGCCACTTCTGGGAAAGAAAATGAAATTTTATGGTGCAGGGCAGATGGGAAGAACCTGGGTTGCTAGAGACTGCAGAAATGTGCGTATGCAGGCTGTGTGTTACACATACCTGCTTTATAAAACCTCCTTATTCCGAGGCAGTATACCTTGAAATATTAGATGTCACACATCCTGAAGTGCCCTGGGTTCACATTTCCCACCATATGTTAGCCAGGAATGAAATCGCAGTTGCTGCTCCTTTGCTGAGCGAACTTCACCAGCTGCCTATTGATCCCAAGGCCAAGTTTAAAGGTTGGGGACTAGCGTATAAAACTCTAACTAACTTGGGAGCAGGCTAGCTCAGAGAAAGACTTCCCAGCTGCTGCGGTCATTGGAAGGCATTCTCTCAATGATTCTGCATGGTCCTCTTGCAGGGCTGGTGGCCTCCACTCCCTGGAATTCCCCGCCTCTGGAGGCCAGGCAGCCTCCAACAATGGGTTGATTCCGAGGCCTTCTGAAAACATCTTTACCTCTGGAAGACTTCCTAATCTAACTCAACACGACCAACTGGTTTGCACGCATTGCTTTGTGTTTTGATCTGTTTCATCACTTGTTCTACATTGCTCCTGAATCTCCACACTTTGCTAAGTTAATCAATAGGATGAATAAATAAATATGCTTTCCGTGTCGGTTAACCCGTCGCCACCTCCTCCCCTTCCTTTCTTGTTTCCACCCAGTGTCATGTTCTAGGCTGTAATTTCTGCAAGGTGGAAATTTGCAAAGATAGAACTTCTATCGAGTTCTGTGCTCATGGGTGGCGCTATTGAAATAAACAAATAAAGCATTTTGTTATTATTGCTTGAAGAATGATCCCGCTGGAGCAGACCAGAGAACCATAAAAGGCAGCTGCCCAATTGCCAATAGGACCTCCGCCAGCCAAACTATCAGGGATACAAACTATCAGGGAACACTGAAACATGTGAAAGTGGTACTGACCTGCAAGAGAGTCTGGGAGGATGTGCCGGCAATCGGTGAAGGCAGGGAAAGAAGGAGAGAAAAGAAACAGCGTTAATCGAGTTTGTACAGTCATAAAACCACCATGTTCACTGAGAAGTATATTCAAGGTGGTTCACAAAACAGTTCCAGCATTCGGAAATGTGCATTCTGTACGGGAAGGATTTTATTTCGTCCCAGTAGCATTCAAATTTTTCAGCATCTGTATGACATGGAAATGTTACATCATAATATTATCAAACTGAGTTTTCCCCTGCTCCCGTGTGCCTTTTTTCTGATTGTGCATGTTACAGGGAGTTAACCCTTGAAGGCTTGCCCTAAAAACCCTTTCAGTATTATTTAGAAGCTCTTATAACTTCTGAGTGACTTTGTGTCAGACTTGGCCAGTAGGAAGTTTTCAGTCTCTCTTTGCCAGCATGACACTCAGAACTTGCTTCTTCCTTCCAAAATGCAAACTCAAAATCTTCCTTCTGCCTGGTTTTGCAATCCCACTGGAAAGTCACAAAAGGAGCTGGCCTATTTAGTCTACTTGTGGGGTCGTGTAGAGCTTTCCAAGGGCTGGAGAGCTCAAAACAGGCCGGATCCAATCCACCAAGCCACTGCAAATCACAGAAGACCAGGCTAGATGGATGAAATTATTTATTAAGTATTTGTGTTTCAGCTCTGCAGCAGCAGAGAGAGCAAATAAATTAATGAAGAAGAGGATGATGCATAGCTGATTTAAATGCAGCCTTGCTCATTAAGTTAGCTTTCTGAGTCAGCTTCCAATCTCCGTCTACTTAGCCTGGGAATACATCCCAGGAAATGCAAGAGGGAGCAGAAGTCCAGGATGTCCTGAGGGCGAGAGCTCCCTCAGCTTTGCAATACGGGGCACGGGAGACCTGCCACCTTTCCCGGCCAAAGGGGTTTATTTCTTGTTCGAGGCACAGCAAGATCAATGGCCTTCTGCCCTCTTTCCCTTGTCTTCATTTATTCATAAAGGTTTGCATCTCCTTTCCGCTGAGATAAAGCCAAGGCAACTCTCCCGGGATCGCCTCCGCTCCGCAGAAGATTTACTTTCCTGTGCATTAGGAAGGAAATTGATCTTGGGGGGAGGGACTTTCATCCCAGGCTGCATTTCCTGCCAAGCATCCTTCCCCACTCCTGTCCCGTCCCCACGACGAGCTAAGCCAGCCTTCCCCAACCGGGTGCCCCCCCAGATGTGCCAAGAACACAAACTCCCATCCTCTCCAAGGGATGATGCGTGTGGTAGACCTGACACACCTGGCAGGGTCCAGGCTGGGCCACATCATCTCAGACATTTAACGTGCGCAAAATCCTCCCAGCTCGGTCAGACCAAGCTTGCTTGAGCACTGGGAACCAGAGCAAAAGAAAGTTGCGGCAATTTATCTCCAGGCGCCTCCCTCCCTCCCGTCCCACCCCGTTAAGCTGACTCACGGGGTGTTTGCGACTCTCATGGGAAGTGACGGACGGCCCGGCCCTTTGGCCAAGCGCAATCCCCCGGGGGCAGAAGGGCAGGTGGGGGGCCAGAGAGCTCCAGCCATTCGGCCGCCTGCCAGCCAATTCGGGAGGCAGCGCGGGCCATCTGGCCAGGGGAGTGGGAGGGAGAAGCCGGTCGGACAGATGTGCGGGGAGGAGAAGAGGCTGTGACTTTCCCAGTGCCGGCCAAGCTTTGTCGGAAACGAGAGCCACAGTCCTTCCCGGAGGGCAAAAGAGCAAAGATGCAAAGCCTGAGCTTTCTGCAGGTGCGACCTCCACCGGAGGCAGGTGCTAGGTGATGGCGGTGGAGGAATGCGGCAGGGACCAGCTACTTGGATAAGAGCTTTCAGGCATGTGGAGGGAAGCCAGTCTGGTGCGGTGGTTAGTGCCGGGCTCTGGCAATTCGGACACAGCCATGCAGCTCAGGGGGTGACTCCGGGCCAGTCAAAGACCCTCAGCTGAACCAACCTCACAGGGTTGTTGTTGTGAGGATAAAATGGGGGGGGGGCTTTGTAAACCACTGTGGATTCCTCGCAAGAGGAAGAAAGGTAGGGTATAAGTAAAATGAAAATGAATATATATATATATATAGACATAAATATACATATATGACCAGTGCCAGCTTCTGCTTCCTGGAGGACTCACCCGCTGCTGAATCAGGGCGTGTTTGTGCTCCATCTCCCTCTTCTCCACGGCCGAGTCGATCACCAGCTGGTCCAGCTGAAAGCAAGAAGGAGAGGACACACATGACCCAAGAATCCCAGCTCTTTTTCTTGCTCAGTCGCCCACTAGGACACCCAGATTTTAAGTCACCCCGTTCTCTCTAGGGAACCCTGGAAGATGCTGGCTTCCGGGGAAACAGCCGGAGATGTCTCAACAGCAGAGTTCTGCAGGACCAAGCAGAGACCAGAACCAGTCCCGGCGCAATGCTCTAACCACTAGGCCACACTGTGATTAGTTAGGCGAAGAGGCCTTCATTGCCTCAAAGTCAGCTGCATGGCTGGGTGGGGTGTTGACCCCAGATTTCCCGAGTCCCTGGCAGTTGGAACTGCTATACCACCCTGCCTCCCAGTGCAATATTCCCCAAGTCCCAAACCAACCGGCAGTACTGGCTGGGGCTCATGGGTGTTGTAGCCCAACATGCCTGGAGGGTCCTACTTTGCCTACCCCGAGTTACTGTAACAACACATTGCAGTCTAACTCTCTGAACCCGTGCCAATTAAATGGCCGATCCTTGCAGAAGGTGCAAAGATATTATTAACCCCAAATTGTGGATTTATTTACTTATTTTTATTTATTTATAAAATTTGTATGTCATCTATTACTTGCGTCTCTGGACAGCTTACAACACAGATCAGAATAAAATAGATAAATTGACTATTCCACGCTGGCTGTGATTAATAAAATGCAAACGATAAAAAATAAAAGGATGAAACCTGCCAGAACAAACAGGTAGCTACAGATCCAGAGAAAGCTGCTGGCTCCGCTCCAGGTGTTGGGTCTTGCTTTAGCAGGAACTGCCCAGGGTGCTGAAATCTGTCCCCAAAATGCATTTTGCATATGAATACATCCGTTAAACTTTGGACTGAAAACCAGAGTGGATACACTGCCACCCTGGCCCAGAAGGTACCCAGCTCAATTTTACAAAGGCACCTGACTGCCCGCATTTTCATGGCCAAGGGAGCAAACCGGGATAAGTGTTTGCTTGCCCGAATTGTCCACAATACTGCTGGTGAGGTTTTCAAAATTGCACAGAAAAAATGCCTTTATATGCCTCTCAAACGATGCGTGTCTAAACCGATCTTCTCCTAAAATATATATTTGGGCAAGTGTTTTATGGAGAATGACATCTTCTGACAAGATGCATTCTCAAACTGGCCCCAGAACTGCAGACCAAGCCCATGAGAAACAGCAAAACTCAGGTTATCCAGGCATCAAACGTCAACGGAAAACGGCTGAAGGCCAGCCACAAATTTCATTGGCTCAGGGCCTTTATTTAATAGGATTTTACTAGGTATAGTATATTCTATATCTAATCTATATTCTATATATTTCACAGATTGTCCTGTGCCTTTCTTGGCATTGCCTGCTCATCAATGGAATCAGATTTTGAGCAAATACTTTTGTAGGCAAAAATTCACATTTCTGAAATTTGTGCTTTGAAATTGCAAATATCTTCTAAATGGAGCCTTTTATGCTGTCACCTGTGGGGGAAAATATGTGCTTGGTGCTGTGTGTGTATGTGTGGAGTGTCTCCGTGTGTTTGATTTTGCATATTTTTGTCAACATTGCATACAATTTCATAAAATAAATAGCCCACAAATTTGAGCTTTTCAGGAAAAATCAATCCACTGCAGAACCTGTCACTCAGATTTGTAGAACTTTAAACCCACATACGTCTATTGCAGATTTCTTGACAGCCCTAGAATTTTAAAAAGTCACATGTTTCTTAATCACTGAACGGAAAGAATGTGCAAAAGGAAAGCTCCCGAAAGCAAAATGTGAAGATCTGTCTATCCAGGCCCAGAACGGTGAGTGCTTAGCATTCCAAATCTTAGCTGTGCGCCCTTGTGCATTCATGCAAGTTTGCAGAGCTAAACTGAAATAGTCAACAATTCCTTCTCCCTGAATGATGCCTCATCTCAGATATATTGTCCTCTCCATGCTGGGAGTTACTGGGCCAGTGTGGTGTCTTGGACTGGGACTCCGGAGACCTGGATCACTTGTTAAGTTGAACCACTGACTCTCACCCTAACCTACCTCACAGGGTCGTTGTGAGATCTAGAATGGTGACGTGGTTACAGCACTGGACTGGGATCTGATAGACCAGAAATCCAGGGCCGGCTTCACCTGCCAGGACTGAAAATCTGACAGTAATCCTTAGCAACTTCTCCCTTGCATTTAAACCTCGTAAGCTTTTCATCGAGACAAAAAACTGACAACCGTGACCTTCATAGGAGTTTTGTCTATAAGCTGCACTCTTGGTGACTTCCTCTCCATCACTGATGTCCCAAAATTGCCTTTCGCTTGGGACGTGGCCATTACAGGCACACCAGGTTCTGCGCGATGCAGTCACAGCCAATATTCCATCGCTAGAGTTACTGCACGAAGAGTTTAAGGGGCTCCGGCCTGTGGGACAGGCTCCGACAGGAACGGCAGAAGACCAAACGCAGCCTTGCTCCGTGGCTTCTCAGCTGAACCGCCGTGGCAACGGGTACTTTCCTGACACGGGGCAACGGCATCAAGGTGGCTGCAGAGGCCTCTTTGGCGGCTGTCCAGGGGATAACTCGAGGATTAGAGTACTGATACTAGGCATTGCTCTGGGGATTAACCTGCAGGCTATTATCCTAAGTTGACAGCTTTCCTAGGAGACCTGAGGCTAAGCAAGCCCGAAGCCAGGCACTGGATCCAAGCAGCCACTGCCAAAGGCAAGAGGCACGGGAAACTCTCCGGGGGACTCAAATAAGTTCAGTTTCCTATGCGTCTGAGCCGTGGATTCCCCGGAAGACTCGCTCTTCCGTGGACCTGCAGATCCTTTTCTTTTCTACATTCTATAATTCTACACAAACGTAGTCTTGCACGAAATGAGAAGTACCAACCCAGAATTCCTCTGACGGAATAAAGCATATAGATTTTCACTGGAGTCGGTGCATTTTCAGAAAATCAAATTTGGGCCATTACATATGGAGACATTTGTCCAAACTATCATCCACAACCAGAGGATGGAATGAAGAAAGCCTGAACGTTTGCAGACCCCACACAAGATGGAGTTAACAAAGTTTACGCTGTTAAGGAACGGAACCTCCCCAGTATCATAAGAGACAGGAAAAGTCTTTGAGTAACGCACAGCATTTTCCTAGAACAGGTCCATATTCAAAGTTTGTTTTGTTTCTCTTGCCCTTTCCAGCCTGGTACCTCCAGATGTTCTGGAATTCAGCTCCCATCATCCCCAGCCAGCATAGCCAAGGCAGCCCAAAGCATCTGGGGGCGGGGGGTTCATGCCGGGGAAGGCGGTTTTCTTTGGCAGTACAAAACTTGAAATAAACAAATAACTCACCTGGAGTTATTTTGTGCAGGAAGGGCAGGGGGGAACTACAGGGTAGGAATTATGTGGGGGGGGTGTACAATTTAGTGCATGGAGCTTCCTAAGGGACTATACTGCTTCAGTAAAGAAATAAATGAAAAAAGACCCCAAAAGAAACATAGAACAGACATGAAAAACCATTTCCTTGCAATGTGCGTACATGCTGTGAAAACAGTCGATTTGGAGCAAGATTTTCTTACACCCCCATTTTGTCCGAAGCCATTTTTCAGTCCAGTTCCCTTCCTTCCTCTCTGCGTTTTTCTCTCTCATTTTTCTTTCCTCCCTCCTCCCTCCCGCCTTACTCTGGTTCCTTTCCCCTGTTTTCTGACAGCTTGTGCAACCCAATTGCCTCTCACCTCGGTAGCCAGTTTCTTCATATATGGGTCCAGTTCGTGCAGGAGGCTGTACCCTTGCTGGAAAAACGTGTACTGGGCATGCATGAAGGACAGCATCTGGAGGACAAACAAGAAAGGAAAGTCTGGATGTGAACTTCAAGGAGGGAGCCGTGAACCTTGGGACCGAACGTGGGAACCACCTGCCCCTGCCATATCGCCAATGGTTGGGGAAAGCTGATCAGCCTTTAGGGCAAGTAGCTGTAGCATTATCACCCCCTGCATCCCAGAGTCCCCTGAGGCTTGCAGAAGAAGCTGGACGTAAGCCCAGGAAGGAATTCATATTGAGGATAGAATAAAATCGGCCCTGGCTTGCTCTGGGGAGGTCCTGCTGGCTGGCCGGCAGTTCTTCCTACCAGGACAAGAAGAAGATGTTGTCTCAGCAGAGAGCCGAGGCCAACTGAAGCCTTTTAAAGGTTGACAAGACCAGCAATGCAATGAGCTCCGCCTCCTTGGAGGAGATGCCTGGGTTGTTAAAGGGCCTTCACCTAATTCTGCAGCCGGAGACTTCCGCAATGAATGTTCGGCCGCGAACTCATCCTTTGGGTCAGGTTGTGTCCTCTGACTGGGAAGACGGCCAGGAATAAGACATTGCCTGCCCTGTGCCTGAGGTAGAAGACTCAGAATCCTTTGCCCCAGCCTGGGAGAACTGAGGACTATGGGTCACAGGACTGTAGCAAACTAGGCCTTTTCCACCAGACACTGTGGAACTATAATTCAATGCACTGGGACAACAGGGACTCCAAATGGAGACATAAACTCAAACACCCTCCGGGGTGTCCCTTGTTGTTGTTGTTATTTCTATCTCAATTTTTCTCCTCTGGTGAGTAACCCCAGGAGGCTTAGTTTCATTTTATCCCAACAACAGCCCTGCAAGGTAGGCCAGGCTGAGAGTGAGTGGCAGCCCAAAGTCGCCTAGTGAGCTTCATGGCTGAGCCGGCACTCGAACCCGGCTCTCCCGGGTCCCAAGTCCAGCACGGGAACCACCATGCCACACCGGCCCTCTCTGAAACCACTTTCGGGTGATTTCCCATTTGTCGGGCAGTTTTGGTCTTTCCCCAGCACTGCAGTGGCAGGTGGCCAGCAAGGGGACTTCGACACAGCTCTTACCGCATCCAGAACTTCAAATTTCTTCTTGGCTTGGAGAACATTGATCTAAAGATAAAGAAAAAGAAACATGAAGATAAGCGTTGCCCGCTGAGCGGAAATAAATCGGCAGGCCTTCTCCTGTGTTTCTATAATACTTTAACCTGCAGAAATCAAGCTTTCTACCCTTCACAGAGAACCTGTTTTGGGGTACTGGTCCAAATGGAGCCAAAACACATCAATCTGTCTTACAAGCTCTATGGGAATCCTATAGGTTTCTATAACAACAAAACCCAACCAAAAACAGCCTAAACAGGGACTGAGCAAGTTCAAAGGCTACAGAATGTTGACTTGGTGGGATGGAGCGAAACAGCGGGACAGACAGAAAACTACGGCAGGCTGAATGGAATGCAACCTCCTGGAAAGGGCTTGGCTGGCTGGAAATCTGCCTGGGAAACTTGCACTCTGGGATCCACATTCCCACTTGGTGGATCCTTCTTCGCACTTTTGCCTTTTCCATGTGGGTCACACGAGCTGAAATGAAAGTCGGACACCATGCAGGTGGTCCAGGTGCCAGCTCTATACTCCGAATCCAATACGGTTCTGCTAACCACACTGAGATCTTGTTGTGAACCTCTGCAAAAAGATGCCCACCAGACTTGGAAGGGGTCAAACAGGGGATTCTCGCTCGGTGGCATTGCATTTCCCAAGTGCTCTTGTTGATATAGCGTTCCTGTTCTTCCGGGGGTGACCAAAGGTGGCGCCACTGGGCCACCTTGTGGTAGAACTGAGTATGGCAGCCTTTTCTTTCCCGAGTCAGCTTCCGTGTCGATTCCTTCAGGGTTGTACCACAAGGGCACCAAAAGGTGCATTTAAATATTTGATGGAATAACACTTTCCAGTGCTTCAAGCAATTTTCTGGCCCTGCAGGAGACTCCTGCTTGCAAAGGAGAGGATCTTCCAGTGACGCTAACCCTATGGGGAGTCCCCGTTAGGGGAACGGCATTACTCAGAGCTTGTCATTCTGCCACTAGGCAAAGCTATTTTTTTAATTCTGGCCTTCGGCACGTATTATTTTTATTTATTTATTATTTGATTTCTAACCTGCCTCATTAGCCACAAGGCTCCCTGGGTAGGTTTGCCACAATAAAGCCATATAAAAATGCAAAAATCAAAGAACAATAAAACAGCAAGGCAATAAAGTGCACTCTTCTAATCCTAACAGATCCAATGATTTCATAAAAAGCAAACCATGTTCTATTAAAAATACCATTAGGAACTGATTAAAAGTTAAATACCAGCAAAATAAAAAGGTATTTTCCTGGTGCCGAAAGGAGCATAAAGAGAGCGCAGGCGGATAAGGAAAGCTGATCTGAGGGGCATAAATCCTTACCTGCTCCGTAATTCTTCTATTGTTTACTATGTGTTGCTTTTAATGTAATGTTTAATTGTGGGACTGTCTGTAATCTGAATTTTATACCTGAGTGCAGAAAGCTATGATACACATTCATTAAATAAGGATGAAATCCTTTGCATTTCGAGGCAGAAAAGAAGTCCTACTGCTGAGATCACTTCTGCCTGTCTCAATGCGCTAAGTTTGGTACTGAAAGATGGAGCCTCCTTATTCCGAAGCAATTTACCTCTAACTAACCAATAGTGAGACAAGGAAGCGTGTTCTTATTTTCACATTCGGAGCTTCCCAAAAGCTTGTCCAGCTGCCTTGAGACGGGAAGCCGGAAACATTCCCACTGTTGTGGGTTCCAGATCCCACTGGCCCCAGCCAGCAGGGAGAACGCCTGGGAGAGATGGGCATTGGAATCCATCAACTCCGATGGATTCCTCCAACCTAGATGGCCTCACGGCTTGGCCTGAGACAGGATTATTTATTTATTTTCATTTTTAAACATCTCTATGCCCCCCCAACGCAACAAAGCCTCGGGGCGGCTCACAAAAAATGCAAAAAAAACCCATAAACAATAACTATATAACAATTTAAAAGAAAAAAAATTAAAAACCCCCGGTGCATTCTCGGCTAATTTTAAAATCCTAATAAATACAATAATAATTGCATTTATTATTACACAAGTTCCCAGGCACAGTTCCTCAATGGGGCACCAGCGACACTCGGTAAGGAACGGAGCAGAGCAGAGCAAACAGCTGGCCGTGACGTCCTGCATTAAGGGCACCTCCTTGACTTCCCCCGCCGAACCCTCTGCTCAGTCCTGACGCTTCGCCAGAGAGCTCGGCAGAAGTTCTCCCGGGAGTTGACAGATGGCACCGGCAGATGGCTGTGCTCTTAACGGGCGGACGGAGCTAATGGAGCAGCTCCGGATCAATATTGGCTTTCAGTCTCCTCTGAGGCACCGTTAGAGGGATGCAGGGAGCGCGTCCCGCTGCAGTGAACGAGGGTGTGTGTGTGTGTGTGTGTCCACAGCAGTGGAGGCAGGGGGTAGAATCCCTCAGGAAATGGCTTTAGGAGGTCCATTTAGGAGGTCCAGCCAGCATCTTCTGTTGACCAGTGGATTGGTCTGGGCTCAAGGGAATTGGGTGGATTTGCTTCTTTCAACCAAACCGAAGCAACTCGGAGGACGGAAGGCAGCCCTGGCGACCTCCCAGGCAGAGACAGATTTCGGGAGAGGCCACAGGAAAGGGGGGGGGTCCCAGGGACCCAGGATGGATGCCCGGCTGCTCCAGGTAGGGCCAAGAAAGCGTGCTGCCTGGATCCGTGAGAAACGGTCGTCATTCGGTGTTTGCAAGATGCGGGTGGATGGATTGCAAGACGGCTTTAGCAGAGGTCCATATCCTTGCCTATCTCCCCGCCATCTCCTCCTTTCACCAAGAGATGCCAGAGACTGAAGACGGCTCTTTCTCTATGCAAAACAACACTCCAATCAGGTGCCTCCCAGAAAAACCTTCCCGCGGAGAGTTAAGTATATTTTTGCAAATACATGCAATTGTTTTGGTGGGCATGTCATGAGCAGGGCTGGATGGATCCAGGGGTCAGACTAGATGGCCCAGGAGTCGCATTCTCACTTGCTCTGTTTCTAAGTTTCCATGTTTTCCCCAAACTACAAGGGGTCCTCAAAAAGTTTCCACACTTTTATATTTTATAAATATATTTTATATATTCTTTGTTGACGGTGTTAAAAAGTTGGTATGGCACTGGGAAAAATGCATCGCATAGGAAGGTGACTAAGCAGAAAAGTTATGCGATTTGTTTTTGAAATTCTAAATAAATAGAGTTTTTAAAAGTGAGGAAAGTTTCTGAAGAACCCTCGTATTTCCCCTAATATATGTATTTTGATGTGCCTTTCCCCTTGTCCAGTCTCATAATCTATTATGACATTCTTGGAGCGCTTAAAAAATGGGATTGCCGTCAGAACATTCTGAGAAATCCGACTGTTGCTGAATCTCTGCTTCCTGGTTCATGTGCAGGGTCCGGAGGAGCAAATTTGGCCAAAGAGAAATTCAGGAGTGAACCCAGCGAATTTCTCACCCATCTCCAACCACCAAATGAAAACAGCCCCCCCAAAATAAAAGAAGAACCCCACCAAGCTGAGCGCCTTTGCCAATGAGTGGCTTTAATCCAGGGGTGTCGAACCCCTTCCAGCCCCAGGGCCGGATTCCATTTCAGAGAAGTCCTCGGGGGCCGTCTTCTAATGGTGGGTGGGGCCAAAGCCAAAGGGGCGGGGCCAACATCTCAATCAGAGCTGCCTATTTGGGCTTCAAGCCCTTCCTACTGGTAACTACATGTTAGGGCTTCAGCCCTTGAGAACGGGAAGGAACAGCAAAACGTGGGGAAAGGCGCCTGGGGAAAAGGGGGTGCAGCCAGGGGAAGCAGGTAGGTGTGGTCTTTGGGGGAACCCTGGAGGACACCATGGGGACCTGGCTGTGAGATGCTGAACCCCTTCTTTACCTACACCTGAAGCCCAGGTGCACAGAAGCAGTCTGGGGCTTCCACCCTTCACCCCTCGTCTAGGGGATTTGGGACTGAGACCTCACCTGTAAGACGTAGTCCAGAGCTAAGTGCCGGAAACACTTCCTGGTGATTGTCAAGGTGCCGGTGGCCTCTTCCACCTCGTGCGGCTTGTGCCGTGGGGCTTGGGCGTTCTTGACCAAGGCGATCTCCATGTCCTCCCGCACCTTGTCGAATTGCTTCTTGGTCTCCTTGAATTTCCGGACGTCACTGCAACAGAACAGGAAGCCGATATTTCTCAGCGAGGCTTGAGGATCGGTGAGGGGGCAGAAAGCGAGGGCTGCCTCCCCCAGTCTGACTACAAGTCCCATCAGATCCAGCAAGTCTGGTCGAGGATACCCCTAGATTTGCAGAACTGCAACGGAAATCTGGGGGAAGGGAAGCCAAAGGGGGGAAACGTGGGGCTGGAGGAGAGCTTTGTGAATGCCCCAGACCCACAAGTGGCTCCTACAGCAAAGCAAGCTGGAGCTTTCCTTGGAAGCAAAGATGATCAAACTGGGACGATCGCGCTTTGGGCACGTCACGAGCGGGCAAGCCTCCCTGGAGAAGACAACCACGTGAGCGACAGTCGAAGGCGAAGGATGCGAGGGAAGCCACCGCCTGGAGCCTGCGAGAGCTGGAAGGGACTTCCGGGAGGGCCTTCATTCCTGGGGCACCACGAGTCAGCCAGGAAGGACTTGATGGCGCATCCCAAGAACCACCAAGGGGGACCCCTGGACGATGGACCGCAGACCGAGCAGGCTCAGTGCACAGAGGATGCTCGCCCACCGCTGAGGGGGTGGCTTCCACCAGAGCCGGTGCCAGTCTCGCCTTCGGCGGTGCCTCAGCTCCTCCTCCCTGCAGTCTGGCCTCGCCTTTCCGGGGACCTGATCCTTGCCTTCCTGCTGGCTCTGCCAGGGATTGTCGGTCTCTGACCCTCGCTCGTACCTGGCTCTGCCGTCGCACCGGTCGGACCTTGCTGGCCCCGGAGGCTCACCTGTTCCTGGCCCCGCCTTGGCTTTCGGTGCTGCTGTTCTTGGGAAGTGCCTGGCCCTTGTTGCCCCTGAGTTCAGCAGGGCCTCCGGCCCGACCGAGAAGGTCCATCCGCCTCCATCGCCTCTGCTCCCCGTCTGCCAGCCATGGTCCCCTGCCACCCACGCCTTGGGCCTCACAGGACACTCAACAGGAATGACTGGAGAACCTTGCAGCACAGAATGAACCTGGCTTTGCCCCTCTGAGAACCGAGCTCGCTGAAAAACACCGCACAGCGCTTCCAGGGGCTCCCCAGGAACACAGATCGCCCCATTAAGCCAGGGTGGACACGAGGCAACAGCGCTGTTGAGAGGGAGGAAAAGGTCCCGAACTTCCCAGCATCCCCCAGCCAGCACTGAGGAATGCTGGGAGGAGAAGGTCCTTCTGGGACTGTGCCTCAAGTTGGCTGCCAGCTGTCTGGGGCCAGGGCTTGTGCCCTATTGAGTGCCAAAGGGAAATAGGTTCACCTGACTTGGGCTGCCATCAAATGCAGGTCTCGGCAGGAAAAGCCCCAAAATCCCTTAGCCGGCAACAAAATGGGGAATTTCTTTCTGTCAAAAGGTGCCTAAGCTTGTGCCACATCTTTCCTGGAGGCTTTCCAGCAAGTAAGATTTGTCGTTGTCGTTCCCAGGACAAACAACAAGGTCCAGTCCCAAACAGAAGCGCCCGCATACTCACTCTTTCACAAAATTGTGCAATTGTTGCTGGACGGATCTCTGAGCTTGGTCGAAAAGGATCTAAGGAACAAAGAGGAGAACACATGAGCCAAACGATCTCGTTAAGCACTTCACCATTCCCAGGCAGAATGAGACCAGAGGTTCAATGACTGTGGCTTTCAGCAATCTGCAGCTCAAAAGATGAGACCTCTGGAGCAAGCCAATGGCCTGTCAAGTTCAGCATCCTATTTCCCACACTGGGCCCCCAAACGCCACGGGTGGAACCAGGGTCAGGAGTAATCACGGTTGGGCATTCGCCAAGGAGCAACACCACAGCACTGATAAAAGGCCTTCGAGCGGTTCCTCCTCTTCCCCATTGCAAGCTCCTCCTCCTCCTGCTTCTTGCTCAAGTCCAGACCGTGGCTGCGGTGCTGAGAGGGGGGAGCAGGAGACGCCACAGTCCGTTGGCCCCAAAGTCTGGGAAGCCTCGAGACAAAGCAGGACATAGGACAGATTCCCTTTTCTGGTGTTGTCCTTTCTCTCCATGGTGGCCAACGTCTCTCCTCCTTGACTGTCACAGCCCCTTTAGAGGACCGTCCAGGTTGGTGTCCATCTCTCCCTCCCATGCCAGCAAAGCCCACAGTTTAACTATGGGTTGTGTGAAGGTGGCCTCCCGTTGATCTATTCTGCCTCCCACCGTTCCTTGGATAACAACTTCAAGCATTATTTTTAAGCAGGTTTCTTTTCTGCCTGAAGGCCCCCGACACAGCTAAGAGTAAAAACACGATCGACCATGAAAATGCACAATAAAAATAAATCGCTATAGTAAAACACACACACCCCCCGCAGAGAAAAGATTACGCTCTTGAGTACGCCTGTCTTGCCAGTAGATGGCACCAGTGTCAACACCAACAGGATCCTACCATATAAACCTAGGAAGCCTTGTTCACACACAATGCTCCTTGCTGCGTCTGGCCCGGTATTTTGACTGAAAGCAGTCCTCCAATGAACTTCTCATGAACGCACAAAACTAGCCATTTCCTGAGCGTTTTTTTAACCATGTAATGCCCCTAATTTAATACATCGTTCTGCCATGTCTTGTGCAACCAGAACCTTCTCACTCACCCATCTGCTACCATTTTGTAAATGTGGACCCTTGTTTGTGAATGCTCATGGAGGAAGGACTCCTATTTCCTGCCCAGGTTTCCTTCCCCACTATCCTCTGTGCACACTGGACTGTTTTTCCCTGCGGAGGAGAGAGGATTCCTGAAGAGCCAGTGTGGTGTCGTGGTGAAGAGCCTGGGACTGGGACTCAGACGATCCGGGTTCGAGTCCCCGCTCAGTCATGGAGCCAACTGGGGGACTGTGGGCCAGTCAGACTCTCAGCCCGACCTACCTCACAGGGTTGTTGTTGTGGGGATACGATGGAGGAGGAGAACGATGTCAGCTGCCTTGAGCCCTTTGAGGAAAAAGGCAGGATATAAACCGAAAAATAAACAAATCAAATAAATCCTCCTGCAGCCTTGGCTTCCCAAGCATGCCACCCGCTCTCTTGCATGTGGACAGTGCTGCTTTGGCTGTGTAAACAGAAAACCTGCCACCCAGCTGTCCAGCATAAAAGGGTGCATTGATCCACGGACACCCGCTTTGGCCTGGCAAGTCTCTGGAGCGTGTAGAACATTTCCCGTCCTCAGTAGCCCGAGGGCAACACACCCTTGGCAAAAAATAGATGGCACCCTTTAACGGCAGTTGCGCTGTTTTGAACTGCTTCCCCACACAAAGCAATACCTCTGTGCTTTTAAGTCGAAAAGGGCACTCCTTTGAGATCCGCGGCAAAAATGAAAGCAGCACCTTCCAAACAGAGTAATGTCAAAACCAGCGGCTAGTCAGCTAGACCCAGTCGCAATGCATGGCTGTGAAAGCTGGACCATAAGGAAGGCTGAGCACCGAAGGATTGAGGCCTTTGAATTGTGGTGCTGGAGGAGACTCCTGCGAGTCCCTTGGACCGCAAGGCGATCAAACCAGTCAGTCCTAGAGGAGATCGACCCTGACTGCTCTTTGGAAGGCCAGATCCTGAAGATGAAGCTCAAATACTTTGGCCACCTACTGAGAAGGAAGAACTGCCTGGAGAAGAGCCTGATGCTGGGAATGATTGACAGCAAAAGGAGAAGGGGATGGCAGAGGATGGGGTGGCTGGATGGAGTCGCTGAAGCAGTGGGTGAGAGCTTGGGGGGCCTCCGGGGGATGGTGGAGGACAGGAAGGCCTGGAGGAATGTTGTCCATGGGGTGGTGATGGGTCGGACACGACTTCGCGACTAGCAACAACAGTCAGCAAGGACTTCCCAGGACCACAAGGTCTTCAGCAAGGGCTGAAAACCACCAGTGCCAGAACCTCCAAAGATGGGGAGGTCCATAGAAATGGGGCCAACACACTAAAGGCCCTTCCATGGGTGGGCTCCAGCCAGGCCAAGGTTCCATGTGCAACCAGTGGAATAATTTTCTCCAGTGTCCAGACAGGTTGGTGAGTGAGATATTTTGCATCTTCAGATGTTAGTTTAAATGCACAACTAGGGCTTAAATTGTTTGAACGTTTCTCATTGTTGGCAAATCCCTTTCTCCAGGCTTTGGGGATGGAAGGTTAATCAGCCCATGGAGGGAATATACCTTTTAGCCACATTGGCCAAAGAAAAGTCTTTGAAACAAAAGCTAGAAGAGATTGGGTCTGCAGCTGCCTTTGCTGAAGGCCAGCCAAGATCACCCGGAGCGGATTTCTGGAAGGCCTATGTTTAATTTTTCAAAACAAATTAAATTGATTAAGCTTTATTTTTTTAAGGGCTTGGCTTTCCATTTTAACATAAAATAAGTCTGATTTCTAGCTCCACAGCCATTTTCTTGGCTTCCCAAGCGGGCTTGGAATGGTCTGCATGAAATAAACGTTTCCAGAAACTCTGCCTCTTCTTTCCTCCCATCTCTCAACCCCAAAGACTGCAGGATGTGACTCACTCTGCACCGGTCCCTTTGGATGGAGGCTTTCCTCTGGGATTGATACAAGAGGGTTAACTCCTTGGAATCACGAATTCACTTCATTCCTATCGCACCCGAAAGCCAAGGCCCAGGGCCAGCCCAAACGCAGAAGCAACGCAAGCAAAAACTCCAGGTGTTATATCCAGGATCCGTCTATGCCAGGAGTAAAGGAACTTTCATGAGAGGAAAGGTTCTGCTCATGGAAAGTCACTCAGTCCCATTTGGGAGGGGGGTCCCACAATTCATCCCATTCTGGAGGGTCTCCAAACTCTGTGCAGCATTTTCAGGAAGTTAGTGGTGCTTCCAGAGGAATCAGTGGTTAAGGAAGTACGAATACCTAGATCCCGAGCCAAGAAACCATCTGTCAGCAATGCCTGGAAAGAGAGAAACCAACTGTTTCCAAATGGGTAGGACAAAACAGGAATCCTCCATCATTCCACTCTTCAGGAATCCTCACATTTTGCGATGACAGCAACACATCACAACACAGGTTGTGGTGACTTTGTTGCTTTCACGGAAACTCTGCACTCACATTCGTTGATGCAACATCGAAGGACGGAGATTTGAGTGTTCCAACTCAGATTTTTCTGGCATGGTATAATTCAGAGCAGCTTCTGCCACCGTTGGCCTTCCAGAGGATTTGGACTTCAGCTCACATCAACCCCAGCTGAGGTCTGGAATGCTGGAACCTGTTGTCCAAGATATCTGAAGGATGCTTCATTGGAGAAGTCTGCTTGACACTGGCTGATTGAAATTCTCCAAGATTAAAGGCAGTGAGACAGCTTTTTCCCTTGAACCCATGCTAAGTGCTCCAGTCCTCCGAGGTGGACACAGAAGAGTCAGTCCCTTCCCACCAAGATGTTTTTTCCTGCCGTGTTCCATCAGTCTGGCTGTTATGACAGGAAGTACGGTGGAGGAGAGGTGGAAATGAGAAGGAATGAAAAACCAGAGCAAAAGAGCACGTGCTGATTTCAGCTCATGTTTTAAACTTCTCCCAGAAGCTGGAGGATCCGAGGCCGGAGGAGACCCGTGGGGTGAAGGTGCATTTTTAAACATACACACCCTCATATTTCCCAATGCACATGGTCTTCCTTATTTTCTACCTACTTAATGGAACTTAATGCAAGGCCGATGTAAATGAACTCCCCACGTCCTTTTGACAGCTAAAAGACGGCTATTACAGCGCTGGAAGGACAACCGCTCGCCTCCGATAATTCATTGGATGGAAGACTTAATGATGCTTTCAGCTTCTCCATTCATAACTGATGAATGGGGAGGGGACCGAATGACTCCGGTGGAGCAAAAGTCTCCCGTAAAGGAGCTAAAAGCATCCAGAGGCAGGAGTGGAGCAGGGGAACCTCTTTGGGTGGGGCTTGAACTCCCCAAATAATTTCAGTCCTTTGTTCCGCAATGGTCTAAGATTTGTTTCCGCTGCAAGAGGAGGAAAATAGGCTGCCCGCCTTCATCTTGCTCCGTCAGGAGAGCACAAATCGCAACTATTAACCCCCGCCCCCAGGCATAGTGCCCCTGAGACGCTACTTGTCCAGTTGCATGGCGTTTGTCCAAATGAAGCTGTCCTCTCTCTGCCCTGCTCCTGAGCTGCTTGTCTCGCCTGGATTCGGTTATTTGCTTGCCTGCACCCCGATACACACAGCTTTGTTAGAATTCTGGCGTGTGCATCCCCCCGCATGGAAAAAAACCCGAGGCGGCCGTTGGGCGAGAGATGAGCACTTGTCTGCGCGAGACAATGCTTCTTTGCAAGCACGGTGAAAGGCGAAGTCTCTCTGCCTGCATTGCGAGAGCCGCGTCCCACAGCCATCCCTTCCCTGATGGGTGACGGCCTGAAGCCAGAGATGCCTGCAAGCCCCCGGCTGCCTCCATCTTTGCATGGCGACGACCCGACACGCTCGCCCACACGAGAGAGAAAGGGCAACAGAAGCAGGAGAGCTGCTAAAAATAACCCATCTCCTTCCTTCCTCCCCCACGCTTGCCGCGGAGCAGCCAAACAAAACCTGAACGAGGACGTCTGATTCAGCTTGCAGAAGATCCCCGGAGCGTCCCGCTCACACGTGCGACCCCGGCCGGGCGACCAGCCCTCGGGAACAAGGTGGCAGGCAAAAAAATACACAGGCTTACACACCTTTGACAGGTAGACTGGCCAACTGACAGACAGCTCAGTCGATTGGCTGATAGATCCAGTGATACACAATAGGATGATAGAAACTTCATGGATAAATAGGCAGGCAGATTGATAGATCTGTGACCGACGAGGAAATATATCGGTAAGGGAGAACTAATTGGCCATCGAACTGACTTGCAGGGCGGGAGATGCAGGGGGCCAGGCTGGGCCCTGCACACATCCTGGCCTACATAGTGTGCTTGTGACCCTCCAGGTTTGGGGGCCTTGGGGGAACCTCCACTGGATGGGACCCTAAGAATGCAGTCCTGTGCTGGCTGGAGCTGGCTGGGAGCTGGACACCTTTCTTCTGCTTCAAGCTGCATAGGGTGGTAGGGGCATCTTCCGATCTGGGGATGGACTTTTCCTGATACGTGCGCTCTCCCTGCATTGTTCCAATCGGGGACCCCATCTCAAAATGAGGGGGGCAGCAAGAGCTGTAAGGTCGGTACTTTGCTATTTGGGCAAGTTCCAGCAAGGCAAGCTGGTTGTTTCCAAGGCAGGTTCACACCTGCAGCTACACGCGATATGCATGCCAGCTAGGAATCATGGGAGTGGTGCTCCAGCACATCAGGATGACATTAAGCTGAGGGACCCCAGTGCGAGCACATCACTTCCCCACGTGCTCCCCACGTGCTCCCCAAAGCTGAGCATTTTGGGTCCCTGCTCAGGGCGAGACACAACGAGTCTTAAAGACAAAGCGATTTGGGGGCATTAAAGTTCGGTCTGTGCTTGAGTGTGACCCAGTTAACTTTCCCTTGCACACTGACATGGCTGCTCCCCATTAGGGGTGCCATATTGTTTTGTAATGCCCACTCCATCCACCCAGAGGTGGTTCCTTGGGACGGATCCAGGAGCTTTCCCAAGGATGGCTTTCCCCAGTAAGGCTGAGGAGAGCGGAGGGCAGACTGCATGGCAGTCCAGCTGGTGTGCGCATATGCAAGCTGGGAGCCCAACCACAGAGCAAGCTGGCTAGAGCAGCACAATGTCGTTCGGAAGGCCTCTCTAGCAGCAAGGCTCCGTGGCTGGGCTCCCAGCTTGCACATGCACTTGACAGTCTGCAAGGCGTTCTCACTTTTGCTCTTTTCCCTAACCCTTTAAGGAACGGGTGTGTAAACATGGCTTGAAAAACTCTGCATGTTGAAAGAAAGTGTGTGAAGGGTATTTCTGGCCCTCCATCTCTGCTCCAACAGCACCCTCAGTATTGCTGATAGCAGCCGGTATATTTTGTCCTGCAGAACTTAGTGGGAGCTGCTGAAAGCCATGGTGCAATTCTTTATGATCTAGTTATCCTTTTATTTATTAAATTTATATCCTGCCCTTCTCCTCCCAAGGCACTCAGGCAGCTTATATAAGTCCCCCCCCGCTCTAAGTCTTATCCTCATAGCAACAACCCTGTGAGGTAGGCAGGCTGTGGGTAGGCTATTTAACTCCTATACTTCCCAACGGCCAAACTGCCCTCAGCCCAGCTCACAGAGTCTGAGGTAGATCCTTCAGTTGTGCTTAGCTGTGAGCCGAAGACGAAGCACCAGAAATCGCTGTTTAATCTCCTTTTGCAAAAGGTTCTCTGATGTTTTCCAGCTGAACTAGGAACACAAGCAAACGAAGCCAACGGAAAATCGAGGCTGGACACCTCCTTTTCCTTTCGAGCGCTGTTCGGATGGAAATGTTCTGGCCCGAGGCGTTTGAGGGCTGCTCTCTCCACTGTGACTGACTCAAAAAATGTCAAAACAAGAAATGCGGGTCCACCGACCCTGACCTGCCGCGCCGGGGGCAAAAGCTCTCCTTCCTGCCCACCCCCAGCCCAAGACGACGGCATCCGCTCCGAGCGGTCTGCTCCCTCCGCCTGGCAGCCAGCTCGAACCAGCAAGACGTGGAGCCTGCGTCTGCACCGTCAGCAGAAAACACTGCGTGCAACATCAGCCCTGCGAGATGGGTGGGTGAGCTCCAGGAGGGTCAAAATGCCGTATTTTGCATGGCAAGCTGAGATCAGCTGGTGGGATCCCACGATGGGAGCACTTAACAGGGTGCAGCTGCGTCTGTTGCCAGTCCAAACCTTTAACGACTGCAACCGTTCTCAAGTCAGGTTACTGGGTTACACAGGTTACAGAACGTCACACACAAACATTATCTGCCTACACAGATATTAAGCATATACCTGCCCCCCACCAAATAAGGGTCTATTTAGTGGTGGCACCCCGTCCCTGAAATGCTTTCCCTGCAGAGGATTGTCTGGTGCCCATGGCGTGAGCTTTTGGGTGCCAGGTAAAGCTCTCATGATCCTCGCAGGCATTTTAAAGGAGGTGCATCAGTACTCTGTTCCACTCTAGTTTTAGTTTGATTTTATGCACCCTTTAGATTTTTCTTTTATTTATTTATTTGGAGTTTTTATATGCCACCCCATCGCTTAACACCTCGGGACGGCTTACAGAAATGCATAAATAAACATAGACAACCTAGTGCCCAATACAAATACAAATAATATAAATTACACAAATTAAAACCCCCGATTCACTCTGGCTGGAAATTAAAACCTATAGATAAGATTAAACATTGTTAAAATATTGTTTAAATCAAAAGGTCTTTAATGCATCTTTTAGATTTTTTGCTGCTGGTTTCTCAGGGTGCATCCTACTTTTTAATGCCTTTCCAGCCATGCAAATAACTTACTGGGTGACTTAAAAGCACAGCAAAGACATATCTTGTTTCAAGGCAGAGTTTCTGAGGAGTCCCCAAACCCCAAAGGAGTGTGTCTTTCCAAACTCCTGGGGTAAAATGAAGTCTTGTGACATGGGGGAGCAGGGCTTGTGATAACACAAGGCTGCCAGATATGAAAACAAAACTTTTGATTTGATTTTGGCCTGACAGAAAGGGGTAGAAGAGTCTTCCCTGGAGTTCAGAGACATTCAAAGTTCTTACTGATAAAGGACAATTCAAATCAGCTAAAGAATTGATTCTCTCTCTCCGAATACTAAAATTCAAAGTCACCTGCTCTGCAGCAGCTTCAAAGCCACCTAGAGCCGGAGAGCAGAGTAGTTTTGGTCCACATCCGTTTCATAAATGTTTGTTCAGGAGTCCTTTTTGTCCTACTTCTGCATCAACCGGTTTGCTTACTTTAAAAAAAGCCAGCTTGGAAAGTGTATTTTGATATGTATTTTGAACACGTCTCCACACAAAATGTGCACTTCTGACCACATTTTCTCTCATGCCTTTTCTAAGTATATTTCATCTAAAAATACCAGTGGAGTGTCCTTTTTCTGCTTTGGCCCAAGAACTGCATGGCAACATTCAGAGAAGTTGAGCCGTCTTGAGACTTTCAGTGAAAAGACAGGATAAAAATGTTGTATTAAATTAAAATTAATTTAAATAGTGAGAAATCTGATCTACAAATGACAAGGGAAGCGAAGAGCAGGGTGGCTGCATCAAAATGCCTGCATGAAATCCATCAACATCCCCAAGATAGAAAGAAATAAGTTACTCCATCCCTAAAGCATTAACTTGTGGAACTCACCACCACGAGGAATTACAGTGACCCGTGGCTGAGATGCTTTTCTAGAGGATTATTAGATAAGCACAAACCAAATAGAAAGCCCTGTGATTAGAGACAGGGGTATTTGCCAGAATATGTCAGATGCGGGGAACAACCACCACCAAACTGGAATCTGCACCATTATTTCCCTGTGGACTTCCAAAGTGATTCTTCTGTCCACTGCTGGAGACTGAACACTAGGCTAGATGAACATCAGCATAATCAGCAAGCTGTGAGTTACGGACACGTTTTGGTTGCTAAAAGATGCAGACACAGCCTGTTTGAAGCCCCAAACATGAGTGCAAGGACACACTCACCTAAAATAGCCACAGGTTACCAGACATGAAAAGCTCACGCCCCTTTTGCACAATTTTCCCAGTTCACAGAATCCCATAGAATCAAACTCTATATGTCATTTGGGAAATGGCATTTCAACTAGCAGCTAACGGCACATGGAAGGATTCATAGGAGATTGGGACCTACCATGTGGTAATTGACCATCTCCTGCAGGCTGTCTCCAAACTTATCCAAGCATTCCTAGAGAGGAAAGAGAGAGATGATCATGAGCAAAGATGGGCTTGAAGAAGCCCTGGCCTCTGCTGGGACTGCCTTTGGCTTTCCTCCTACAGCATCTGCTAAGCCCTCCATTTCCCTGGGTGCTCTTGGCCCTGGACATCTCCTGTGGTCTATCTTGATGGAGGAGATGGGTGCATCCCCTCCCCCTTGCAGGGGTTGTGAAGCTCCATAAGATTTCAGAAAGAGAAACAATACCCCATAGACCTCTTACATCCAAATATAATCTTTTGACGTACGCCCTCATCATGCACGCAATCTCGTCCTCCTGCCTGGTCGCTGTGGACACGCTTCAGTCTGCCTCTGAGCCTAGCCCAACCTGTTCCCACTGGGAAAGGACGGGTTATGCAGAGGCAAATTCTGTTTCAGTGCACCTCCGAGGGCTTGTCCACTCACAGGAAGCAGGTGTGCAGAACACGGGATTCAGAAAAGGGCAGCCTATGCCACTCCACAGTGATGTTTCTCTGGAACACCACCCCCACCGCCTGCATCCATTTCCAGACAGCATGGCTCATACCGGGCGTCTGCCACATCCAAACGAGGCCAGGTAGGCAAGGGCAGGCTAAACGAACAGGGCTCTAAATTAATTTTCTCCTCCAGAAGCCCCATTCAATGGCTGGATGTGTTTTGCTCTGTGGGTGTAGGACAGAACCTGGGCCATTTCAGGGAAGCTCTTGGGAACTGCACTCCAGCACTGGGACAAAACTATGAGAAAGAACTGCTGGTTTTGGCTTTTCTTGCGAGGAACTAAAAGGCATCTCAGCCTTTTGGGGTGCAGAGAATCTCAAAAGCCATCAAGGAATGGAGAACCACAGAGGGTCAGATTGTGTTTTTTCCTTTGGCCCCCAGAGCCTCGGGTCCTTTGGCCCCCAGAGCCTCGTTCTTGCAGCCCTGCTTTAGGAAGATAGGAAGCGCTGAGCAGCAGTCTTGGATTACCTTTCAAGAAAAGCTGCTTTTGCCACATGATACCAACATGCAGAGGCTTATCTTTTTGGGAGGTGCACTTTGGAAACGACAGTTCCCCCAACCCTTTGGCTCACAATTCCAAGGGGGCCACCTCGGCTCCTGCTCAACTCTTTCCCTTTCCCAAATAACGGATGCTTGCTGACCTATTTCAGATGCATCACTTCAGCTTTCTGGCTTTTCAGAAAGCAACGCAATTCCTTGAGGCATAAAACTCCTCAGATATTTTTAGCAATGCAAGGATTCTGGGTGTATATGTGCTTTCAGCATAAGCCAGCAGATCCAAACATATTTTTTGGTGCATTTAGTTTTGCAAAAATACAAAGAACCATGTATTAGAGCCCGTTTTCGTGCACCAATACAAAAATACTGCTTTGGCACCTTTATTTACATATTTTCAGCATCCCTCTGAAGGAGATGGGGCTTTTTCCAATGCTTTCTGGGGTTACCAAGAATTCAGACTGGGACCCTCTGCAGACAAAGCCCTTCCAGGCATTCAAATTAAGCAGCTCTCGGTGTGATGGAAATATTATTAAGGAGGTAATGTTTGGATCTGCGGCGTTCCTACATTCCACGTGTGGCTGGCTTTTAACGCAGCCACGTCAAGGAGTTTCCTCGGTGATGGAGTAATAAAATGATAGAGTTAGAAGGGACCACAACTCTCCGATCGTTCATCCTCTGCAAGCCATCTGCCGTCGCACTTCTGCTGAAAAAACTCAAATGAAGCCAAGCCACCATTTTCATAGGCAGACTGTTCAACAGTCAAACAGCTCAATCCATCAGATTTGTTTCCCCAAGAAAGTTTGGTTGAAAATCTCCTTTCTTGTCAATCAAACCTGCCAGATTTGGGTCCTGTCCTTTGGAGGAAGTGAAAACCAAAGATTTAGGGAATTGTCCTCCAAATCTTTGGAGAAGGCCAAGTCCTAGAACTGCGGTGGGACCTTGGTTTTGGTTGGAATCTGACCAGAGGTGGTCTGCAAGAGTTTGGGCCTACCTTAGATCCCCAATTCACTGGCACCAATCAAATATGAGTTGAGTCTTCCAATTAAACTAAGCTTCTATCATTATCATTATCATTTTGAACTAGGGAAAATTGTGTAATGCTTGGCTGCAGTTGGTGCGATTTTCAGCCACAAATGTACAAACTGCACCCAAACGTTACACAAATTTCCTTGGCTTCATGAAAAACAACATAGGCAAACTGTGCCCTCATTTTCGGAGATGCCCAAGTGGCCAGATGATCAGAAAGGCCAAATTGGGTCTCCGAAATTTCATCCAAACCGGTACCAAGCTTCCCTATCAGCCCTCCTGTCCCTTGAGGTGGAAGTCCTTCTTCCGGAGCCCTCCTTGAAGGAGACTGGGAGGGTGGCTAACTGGAGGAGGACCTTCTCTGTGGTGGCACCCCGATTGTGGAATACCCTCCCCAGAGAGGTCTGCCTGGCACCAACGCTTCTATATTTTGGCGCCAGATGAAAACCTTTTTATTCTCCTATTATTTTAGTTGTTAATTGGTCTGAACTGTGGTTTTATATTTCTCTCTGGATGTTATAATATTTTTAATCTTATTTTAATTGTGCTTGCTGTAAACCGTCCCGAGATGTCAGTAACGGGACGAGATATAAAAGCTTTAAATAAATGAATAAATAAAGCACGGCACGCAAGCAAATCTACAGGGCTGGACCGTCATGACGCAATGCAAACAGGAGAGGCATTCCGCACATGCTCAAGGGTGCTGAGCTCCTGGGTTTTGGCGGCAGGCGGGACACGCCACCCACTCACCGAGATCATTTCGTCCTTCTTGCATTGCTGCGACAGGTCCCGCACTCCTCCGACAAACTGTTTGTTCGTAATGATGTACGCCTTCCCGGCATCGATCATGTTGCTGCATAGTTTCACCAGCTGAAAAGCAAAGAGGAAATGAGGGCGGCTGGGCAGGGAAGCCGTCCAGAACAGCCACGTGAAGGGCTTACGCTGAAGGTGGGTGGGCTTCCAGATCCCCTTGCCAGAATCCTGCCAACCGGGGCCAATTGCAGAAGGCATACAAACGAAAGAGCACGTCTGAGCGTGCCGCGTAAGGGTGGGTGGACCTTTCTTTTGAGGATCAGAATGAGCATCGTCATGTTTTCGTAGCAATGGTTTCCATCCACAAAATATTTATCCTTTGGGACAGAAATACAGTCACTCATGCTACAAAGCTTACATAAACGTTAAAAAGTTACAGTCAAAGATCTGAACACCATTTTTAAATTGTTTTGCACCAACTGCTCTTCTCTTCTTTTTTCACACACCTGACATAAAGAACATTATAGCAGCTTCTCAGAACTACACCAAGGTGTCCAATATAGCAATATTCTTCTGTATTTGCAAGCTGCATGTTCATGGTGACATCAACTGAGGCAAGGTAACCCTTGTATTCCAATTCCCACGTCAATTTTGCCATTGCTGGCTTCCCACAGCCCATTTAGGAATGGGCCGAAAGCTTAATGGGGCTGAAAGCTAAAGGGAGCTGGGCCAAAGGGCTGGTGTCAAAATATCACATGTCCCCCCGGAAAACACCCCCTAATCCAGCATCTTTGAACTGCAGGTCGGCAGTTAACCTGATCCTGTAAGGAAGATGTTAACAGAAATAGTGTTTGCTTCTTATCATCCCCATGACATTTGTATCTCACCCCTTTCTCCTCAGGCAAGAAGCACAAGATGCTCCTTTGTAACTCCCCTCTGCAATTTGTGCTCACAACAACCCTGCGAGGTAGGTCAGGGACTACCCAGTGTGCTTCACGGCTGGGCAAGGAGTGGGACCCAGCTCCCAGCCCAGTTCAGGGGAAGGCAAGCTGTCAAAAGGCAGGCCCGAGGTGAAGTCAGAGGCCCGACGCCAGCTGCTCCGAGAACGGGGCCCTGCGCCTCGCCTTTCCCGCATTCCTATCCTCGGCCGGGGGAGGCTGGATGCTGGGAAACGTCTTTGCACCGCTGCATCCGATTCCAGGGCAGAGCAGCCAGCAGATGCGGCTGCCGGTCACATCTGGCACCCAGATGGCCGCGAGCTCGGCTTGGAGCAAGCCTCTGGAGAGGAAGGCAGCGAGCGCTGCTCTGCCTGCAACGTGGCAGTTTCGTCTTCGCAGTCAGCAAATCTCGCTGTAGGTTATTCTCCGGGAACTTTGGCAGGGGGGGGGGGGGGGGGGGGGGGGGGGGGGGGGCGGCGGCAATGGGACAAATGCGTCGGCAGGGCAGGAACCCTTCCAATGTTATGAGAAGCTTAGCCGGAGGTTGGGAAATCCGTGCACGACGATCCGGTGCAGAAAAATGGAGACCAGCCAGGGGTGCGATTTAACTGTGCCCACATTAGCACATTAAAGACATGCTAATGGAGCGCGAGTTGGTTTACTCTGAAGATTCAGGAGAAATTACTCAGGCAAGAGATGGGAGAAGGCAAGGGGCCCAGAGGCACCGAGATTCTCTGGGTTTTCAGATCGAGGTGCTGCGATTCTGCTCTCAAACATGGGCTTTCCATGCACACTTTCAGAAAAGTGCAGTTTTTAAAAAAGCACACTTTCCCCTCCATAGATTAGCATGCATCTTACTTGGGGGTAAGGCATGCAGTGCTCTTTTCTGGGCAGCGTGGCCTTGTGTCCTACTTTACTGAGGACAGTCCTCTGTTCGAAGAGCTATCAGAGGACAGCCACATGTTTGCACCATCCCAGAAAGCTTACGACGGTGGCAGCGTGATTTCCCACAGCATCTTCACCCCTGGGGGAACGGTCCTGCAACGCCGTTTGGGGCATTGCAGGATGTCCCTCTGTGTTGGACTTCAGCTCCCATCAGCGCCAGCCAACACCGCTAACAGGCAGTGGGGAGCGGCTGCAGTGCCTCTCGGTGCGCAGCTTACCTTGTCCAGCTTCGCTTCAATCTCCACCACATCCGTTTCCACCTCATCGATGGTTGCACTGCAAGGAAACAGAGACAGAGACGGCGCTGAATGCCACACTGACCATCAGCTCTTGCAGTGCTCTGATCCCGGGGCAGGCGGAAGCAGGCAGGGCATTTAGGGCCAAAGCACCGGGACCTTTGATCTGTAGGAACACGGAGATCCTGCACGGACCTTCCCAGCAGGAATAAACTGTTGCAAGCCACCTTGTTGGGCAAAGTCCTTCCTTGGGGACAGAGGGCCTGCAGGGCAAGGAAAACCCACCAAACGCGCATAATCGTGACGAAACCTGCCCTAATTGCTTTGTGGCCTTTTCTATCAAAGGCTTCTGTGCTTCACCCTGGGAAAATCAGCTCCAGGAGAAACCTGAGTGGGTGGCATTAGACTGCGTGGGTGCCTGTCACATCCCCCTCTTGGCTACCAGTCTGAGATGACGCTAGCCCAATTCCAACATGCAGAAAACTCCTTTGCTCAATGTTCTTTGATCAGTGGCGGGTGTTAAAAGGTTGTGCTATTGTGTTGCACTGTGTGTGTGTTTGTATAACACGGCTGTCTTTTTCGGACCCTGATTCAGGGCAAAGCTGTGTGGCCTGTGGTGGTGGAGCCATGGTTAGAAAATTGGACTGGCACCCAGGAGAGCCGAGTTTCCGTCACCACAGCAGATTCTGTTTGGATTTGGCTATGGAATAAAAACTTGTGGAAAAACATATGGACTGCAGCAGGTCATCTAGGACAGAGAAACAGAGGGAGTCCAAAGGGGCCTCCCGGGCCATCTAGTCTGACCCCCGACTCCAGCTGGCTCCGCTCCCGACATGCCCACCATGTGCATGTCCAGCCTGTCCTTGAACACCCGCACCGATGGGGCCTCAGCGACCTCCCGTGGGAGCCCATTCCACACCCTCGGGGTCCTGACTGTCAGGAAGTCCTTCCTGGCATCCAAATGGAACCTGGTTCCCTGAGCTTTGCTCTGTTGGAGCACGTCCTGCCTTCCTCTGCAGGGGAGAACAGGTCTCTGCCCACCTCCGTGTGACATCCCCTCACACACCTGTATGTCACCAACAGATCCCCTCGGAGTCTCCTCTTCTCCAGGCTGAAGAGACCCAGTTCCCTCAGTCTCGCCTCATACGGCATCCCCTGCAAACCGGCCAC